CCCTCAGACAATAAGATGAGTTATATCCTCTTAGTAGATTTCAAACACCAACAGTTGGTCAATCATTCTCCTGTGGTAGGTTGGGAGGATCCAAATTAGGGCACAGTCTTGGGAAGGACAAGGTTAAATCTACTAAATTTGTAATACATGAGATAAAGAGAGCAAAAAATGCTTTTTAAAACTTGAGGTGGTAAAACATGGAATTGGGTTCTTTCGGCACATTGAATAATTTCTTTCATTAAAAATGATTATCGTTAAGTTCATTAAAAATGTTTATTGGGAAAAGTATGCTCGATCCTTGGATATTTTTATATGTGGCAGGAAGTAGAATAAAATAAGCTTTTCTCAAGTCTTTCTGGAGGAGGCATCAGACAGCCCATACTGTCAGCTGCACAACCATGCGAATGTAACACATGCTGAATGTGCATTTATCTCAATGTTCTTCCCTTCATGTTTTCAGACTGGAGTCCTAATGTGTCAAGAAACAGAACATCTGAAGCTCAGAGAGATTTATCCCCTGCTCTTGAAGACACGGGGTATGACGACATCGAAGAGTTGGGACAGTGATCAAGACTACTGAGCAGTACTGAACAGTTGTGTAATACATCACTGTTCAAAAAATGCTAATTGCAACCAGAAAAGCTTGCATTTAGGATTAGTTTTTATAAGTTTGGTTTATTTGCAGAGAAGTGTTAACATATGTAGAAGAAATACAAACATGATTGTTAAGACAGTTTTTCAAAATTCCTCTGACTGCATGGACAATTTTGCTTTTTATTTCTAAATATTTTCATTGCTTTTTTTCTTTTCTATTGAGGTAGTTTTTCAATATATGGTATTTTCTTATTAAAAACTGTTTAACGATCTTTTCTCAAAAGTATGTTTCTGTCACAATTTTATGATTTTTGTTATCAGTATTCCGCACCACAACATCATGTAGCACATGAGGAGCTAAAGAGTTAATGCTCCAGTTCCATGCAGCGTCGATAGTTCCAGGTACCTGGTTCTCAGAAGAGAAGAACTATAAATCCCAGAAGATTTTCACTGTTCTGTTTCCATTTTCCATTTAGAGGGAAAGATAAAACTTCTCGTGAGTCACAAGATGCTCCCTTTCTTTTACTTCTCATCTCTGTGGTGTGTCCTCCCTACCTGTCTCACTTTCAGCATTAGAGTAAGGCCTTTGGATTTGGATACTCTCTCATTGAATTTGATTTATTAGCTTCAGTTCCAATTATATTGTATTATATTGTCTTGCATTCCACTATGACATTTAGTGAATTATTTTTCTCCCTTAGCTCGTTGCCGCTGTTTTGTTCTTAGGTCCATCTCCCTACCCTTTCCACTTTCCCCTTCCCCCTCTCCTAGACCACTGGTCAGTGGGGTCCCTCCACCCCATTAGTCAAAGAACTGGACTGAACCAGCCCTAAACCTTTTACAATTTCTCCCCCAAATTCACAGAACTTCTTTCTGGAGATTACTAGGAATGGGGAATGAACTGCAAGAGAATTATTGATGCTGTTTTTCACCTTTTGTATATTTTGTCACATACAGTGTGGAGTCCTGAATTAATTTTTTATAAAGTACTTTATAAGACAAGAAACTCAATGAATGATAGGCTGTTCATGTCCTTAAGATGCAGAACTATGTACAAGTGAATAGCAAATGTGACCGGAGAGAGAAACATTGATTCTCTTTTTCTCCTTCTATGCCATAATCGTGTAGTTTCACCCTGGCAGGCAGCTAAGTAAAACACAGCTGCTCACTCACTCTCCCAGGTGGCACAGGGTAAGAGAATCAAAAAGGTAGAAGTGTGAGAATTCATGGGTTGAGATAAAGGCAGGGGAATAGGTCTATAGATCATTATTCAGGCTAAGGGGGATCTATGACACAACTACAGGATGCAGGTGAAGTGCATTTTGGAATCGCACAGGATTTCTTGTGGGATGATTAGGAGCAGGGACAAAAGATGGGAAAAGGAGTTTAGACGAGTAGAGGAGGAACAAATGTGAGAAAACAGAGGAGTAACAGGATAAAAGGCCCAGCTGCATGTAGTTTGCTGGTTAATATACTTTTCTAGCCATGCCCTTTGCCTGTTCCATATTTCTTTCTAATTATTTCCAGGGTGAAGGGTCTCTGTTGTTTGTGCACATGTATGTGTGGCTGAGTGGAGCAAATGAACTGAGATCACAAGCCACATGGGCCTGCATATCAGTGGTGCCAGTGACTAATGTGATCACAGCTGTGAGGTCAGACGTGTATATATGGTGCATATGTGTACTCTGTGTACCTGTGCCTACCGAAAATACAACTTCAGCCTCACCATTGGTTGGATCCAAGGAGAAGGACGTGGAGCTTCCTGTCTCTAAATTGAAGAGAGATGGATTTGAACAATGGACTGTCTGATGGTTGGTTGGTTGGACTGTCTGCATGGATGGTTCCATGTGTAACGCTACAGATAATACAAAAAATGAAAGACAGCAATTGTTCCTGTGCTTTAGACTGTAGCTTAAGAAAACTATCAGCTGGAACATAGTCAATGTCGGTGTAAAAACAGCCAGTAACAGCACTAACTTTATTATTAAATAACTATGTAGCTTGTGATATACGATTCATTAACCGAGTCTTAATTTTGCTTCATCTGTGGACAGGACTTTAAAGAATCACTAGGACACCTCTAGTTCTTCCTACATTTTTAAGTGTACTCTAAGATTTGTTCAGAAGCTGTGTGCTACTACTAAAGGAACTACTTAAAATAAGATCTATGATATAGAAATTGCTTCAACGTAACGACTGGGCATCAACTTCTTTAGCAGACAAAGTGAAGGCTGCTTCCTTCATGGTACATAAGTTAGTCACTTGACTTGCTCTGCCACTTATCCAGCTTTACACAGATAGCCAGGCTATCATATAAGGGAAAGCAGAGTCCCGATCAGAATGACAGAACCAGATAGTCCAGATATAGGCATGATATGAAAGAAACATGAGATACAAATGATATAAGAGACTGCAGTGGACTCTCCCATTGTCTTGGGGGCCCTCTGTTCTAGGACTTTATTTAATTATTGTTACTAAAAATACACTTGACTACAGAGAAACAGACATCTCTAGTGCCCCAAAGTGGTTTCAGAAGTTGATGCTTCTCAAAGAGGGAATGGTGACATGCCAGAATGAACGTGGTTTCCAATGTATTTATTCCTTTACATTTCTGTAAGCTCCTGTATAAGGAGACAGTTGTTACAAACAGTTAAGAAGGGAATAATAACCTCTTTCTGTCACTTAAAAAAAAATCATTTACTTAAAAAAAAAAATCTAAATTATTAGTGATACAAAGACACTCTTGAGAGAAAGTTCCTACTTTAGGTTTTTCATGAAATTAAAATCAAGTTGCCCCTTTCAACCTCTGTGGAGAGTACTTGTTGGTTTGCAAAATAATTTGCACATTAATAGAAACAGAAGCACGACTAGTATATTTTGATAAGATTTATTCTTAGAGACATAATTATTTTTGAGAACACAAGACAAGGAAACAGCAAGTTACTTCCATACCCATCAGCACATAATCTTTAGTTTCATGCTTCCCTCCACAGTCATTATTTCAATTTTTTCTACCATCCTAAACTCTCTTGTGCTTGTGTCCTGCCAACAAAGAAATGACCTCTCACAGCAGGAAAATTCTTCAAGAAAATCTGCAACAGTTAAGTGGTTCTGGATGTATTTGGATCAATTAGTTCAGCTGCTACCAAAAGGAATGCTCTATTTCACTGCCCCTTACTGAAATGAATGATCATACATCCAAAGATGTCAACTCAGCAGGCTAATTTGGTGTATGATTAATCCCCAAAAGATTCCCATCACCACCACACAAAGTGCTTGTTCTACAGTTAGTTCAAAATGACAAAATATTCAACAATGCAACTACTCAGAATGAAGATGTGAGGTTGAAAAGTACAATGCAAAGGACAGAGATCATGGAATCATAGAATGGTTTGGATTGAAAGGGACCTTTAAGATCATTTAGTTCCAACCCTCTGCTATTAGTAGACCAGTTTGCTCAAAGCCCCACCTAGCCTGGCCTTGAATACTTCCAGGGAGGGGGTATCCACAGCCTCTTTGGACAGCCTGTTCCAGTGTTTATACCACCCTCACAGTAAAGAATTTCTTCCTAATATCTAGTCTAAATCTGCCCTCTGCCATTTTAAAGCCATTTCCCTCATCCTGTTGCCACACACCCTTACAAGAAGTCGCTCTCCAGCTTTTCTGTAGGCTCCCTTCAGTACTGGAAGGAGGCAAGGAGGAAGAATAAAGTCTCACCCTGCTTCCTTTCATGAACAGGAGCACCTTGGCCAACCCCTCTCACCTTCCCTGGGCCACAACAGGACATCAGGCACGAGGGCACCATAGCAGTCGCACACCCGGCTCACAGAAGGGCTCGCTTCGAACCTGCACTTCCCAGCTCAGATCACGACACGCACTTCTCGCCTCATCAGCTCCCTTCCTTTTCGGTCGCCTCAGAAGAGCTCTTCTACCCGCTCCCACTGCAAAACGGCCACGGCGGGGCAGGGGCCCATTCCAGCCTCACACCCCGAGCTCCTCTCAGCTGTTCCCCCGCCCCGTCCCCAGGCTGCAAGGCGCCGTGCAAACCGCCCGAGGCAGAGCCCTCAGTGCCCGTCCTACGTACCCTCCGTCGGCTCCGACGGGAGAAGCGTGCTTTCGGGAAAACATGCCGCAACGGTTAAGGCAGCTCCCCTCCGTCCTCCTCGGGAGCTTCCCCTCCTCCCACCTCAGCACGGAAAAGGGCACGGGCTCCCTCCCTGCCTTGACTTCCCAAGCCAGGCTTCAAAGGAGAGACAGCAAAGAGCGCCTCACAGCTGGGACGAGGCCCCAGCCGTGGGGCAGGAAGCTCCTGGGAAGGCGGACACGACGCACACACTGCACCTAACGGACCGCACACGGGCTCCTTCGCCGCCAGGGCGGACTCACGTAAGCGGAAGAGCGCCCGGCCCCCGTCAGCGCCCGCCTGCCCGAGGTGGGGCGCGCTGGGTAGTGGGGGCGTGTCGACACGGCGCTGCGGGGGACGAGAGCGAGCTGACATGGGTCGCACACTCGTGGAACTCTTTTACGACGTGGTGTCGCCTTACTCCTGGCTGGGGTTCGAGGTGAGGGGAGGAAGCGTGGAGGAACACCGCTCCCGGGAACCCCGCGGTTCACCACGGCCGCTGGCAAGGGGGCCGAGTAGGCGCGACCGAGGGCCGGAGTCAGCTGAAGGGCGTCTCGTTTCCCTGCCCTTTAGGGCTTCCCTCGCCGCGGCCGGAGCGGCGCGGAGCCAGTGCGCTTAGCGCAAGATCCCTGCTTCATTTCCGTTTTGTGTTTGTTTCTGGTTTGGCTCGCTTTGCTTTGCCCACGATGTGTTTGGCTTTTTGTTTTTAATCCCGTTTGTCGGGGACCTTTAAGTTTCTTCGTGACGTGTTGAAAACCAGGGGCGCTTAGGAGGCACCTCCGAGCCTGAACGCTTATTTTCTACTTGCTTGCAGATCTGCAGACATCTCTATCAATCTGGCTTGCCTTTCTGTGTTGCAGGTTCTCTGCCGATACCAGCACATATGGAATATTGATTTGCGCTTTCGTCCGGCTTTCCTTGGAGGCATAATGCAGTCAACTGGTAGCTAATGTGGGGAGGTTGGCATTCTTTAGTAGGATACTTCTGTGGGTGATCACAGAGCTAACCCTTAAACTCATTTTTGGCACCAATAGCAAAGTAAATATATGGTCGTGGAGCTCAGCAGTGACCTAGAAATCTGCTGCAAGGAATTTTGTGCTGTTACTGCTGCATACCCCCCCAGTGCTTGTGCTGTATGCAGAACGTGTAAATGCCAAAGTTCCTCAGTCCTAAAATAGAATAACAATAATTCTACATGGAATGATTTCCTGAAAGTTTTGGGTTGAATTAAAACTAGAATAAATCTGTGGAACTCTTATAGTTTGTAACATACGTGAAGGATCAAAGCACATTATAAAATAGCGCTTGGGGCCTTATTAGGATTCCCTGAGATTTATAAATCATGCAATTAACATTTCTCCATCTTTGTTTACCGGTACATGGTTGTTTACCTTAAAAGTCATCAATTCAGATCCCTGTCAGGAAGTTTTTACCTTAGTTTAAAGCTGGTTCTGCTAATTTAAACTACCAGTCTTTGTAAAACAAAAATAAATTGTGTTTTAAATCATAGTGTTACATTTGGAAAATCTGTATATGTTTTATTAATACTGTATAAAATTGCTTTTCCTTGGGTATGTGTGTAGGTGAGATCTAATTTGTCATGTTTTGTTTTGTCCAGTGTTTTTATAGTATACTTGAAATCTTCTGCTTAAAATAGAACTTTTTTCTGAAAGGTAACAAGCCTCCAGCAATGTTGCCAAAGCGTGCAGAATACCTGCAGAAGGATATAATAAGGATGGCAAAATATTATCAGGTGCCTTTAACAGTTTCAGAAGATGTCTTCCAACGTATCCTTGGTAAAAGTAAGTAAGAGATTTAGCTTAGACAATATTTGTCAATCATTGTTTAAATCCTCCATTACAGTAAAGGTTAAGAAAAAAAGAAAAGCCTCTCATTTGTCCGATTGGATCTTGTGATTACTCTTCAGAGAAGATAACACTGCCCAAGCCTGGCTTAAAACTTCTTGCATCCCCCTAGAAATACCTGCACCCTCTGCTTCTCAAAAGTGCCCATATAGCAACACACATAGCATAGAAACTAATCAGGATGAACTAGAGGTCTGTGTGCAGTCACACAGAGTGGGACAGCTCCTGTGACTGGAATGCAGTCATGGATGGTCTGTCCTTTTAAGGAAAGGCAGACTGGTGAGGCGAGGTGGTGGAGTTGACCTTTGTGTGAGAGAGCAAGTAGAATGTATTGACCTCCAGTTGAGGGGGAATGATGAACAAGTGGAGAGCTTATGGGTAAGAATCAAGGGGTGGGCTAACATTGGTGACAGTGTCGTGGATGTGTACTACAAGCCATCTGATCAGGAGGTGGAAGTGGAAGAGCCCTTCTACAAATAGCTGGAAGTAGCCTGGTGATCCCCAGCAATGGTTATCATGGGGGAATTCAAACATCCTGATGTTTGTTGGATAAGCAACATGGCCAGGCATACCTGATGCATCACAACCTGATGAGGTTTAACAAGTGTAGAGTCTTGCATCTGGAGAGGAATAACTGCATCATGCATCAGTTCAGGTTAGGTGATGACCTGCTAGAGAGTAACTCTGCAGAGAAGGACCTGGTGGTCCTGGTGGACAAAAGGTTGGCCAGGAGCCAGCCTTGTGGCCAAGAAGGCCAATGGTATCCTGGAGTGCATTAGAAAGAGTGTGGCCAGCAGGTCAAGAGAGATTATTCTCCCCCTCTGCTCTGGCCTGGTGAGGCCACATTTAGACTACTGTGTCCAGTTCTGGGCTCCCCAGTTCAAAAAAGACAGGGATCTCCTAGGAGTCCAGCAGAGGACCACAAAGATAATTAAAGGCCTGGTGCATCTCCCATGTGAAGAAAATAACCTGAGTCTGTTCAGTCTGGAGAAAAGACTGAGAGGAAATCTGATGAATGTTTATAAATATCTAAAGGGAGTTGGAAGGCAAATGGTTGAGACCAGGCTCTTCTCAGTGGTGTGTAGTGATAGGAAAAGGAATAGTATGTTCAAGTACTAACTAAGCCATTGCTGTACTAACATGCAGAAGAAATTCTTTACAGTAGGGGTGATGGCAGCAATGGATCAGGTTGGCCAGAAAAGTTGTGACATCTCCTTCTGTGGAGATATTCAAGACCCATCTGGATGTCTACCTGTGCGACCTCTTGTAGGGTACCTGCTTTAGCAGGGAGGACTCGATGATCTCGAGGTCCCTTCCAACCTCTGCGATTCTTTGATTCTGTTAAGATGGATTATCTGTCCATAACCTCTCCATGTATCTGTTAGCAGTATGAAATCTGTGTGTTTTTTAACCATGAAAGGAAGTTCTGAGGAAATAAACCTCCAAATTAACACTGAAGATACTGTTGATTCAACAGAAGTTTTACTATTTGGAAATAGTTACAAATAAGATTATATCATATTCAGGTAATACTTCTTAAGACTCTTACCTCTTACATGACTCTGTGCCATCTTTCAGCGTGTTTCTTTCTCTCCACTAACTCTAGACAGTCTTGGAGCCATGCGTTTTATCACAGCCATTGATATGACACAACCAAAGTACTTGGAACCCTTATCTAGAGAGTTCTGGTTACGTTTTTGGTCACAGGTCAGTATTTTATGAAGCCATTGCCTTGATCCTTTCTGTCAACGTTCCTGAGTCGCTTCATTAAATGTGAAATGTGAGCAAAAGAAAGGAAAAGTCTTTCCATTAGAAGTCATGGAAGGAAACATGAGGTCATCAGTGTTCATCTTGGTTTCAGCTGGGCTAGAGTTAGTGTTCATTATGGTGGTTGATACGATGCCATGTTTTGGATTTAGGACAAAAACAATGTGGTTAAAAAACTGATGTTTTAGCTGTTGCTGAGCAGTGCTGCACAGAGTCAAGGACATTTCAGCTTCTTGTACAGCTCTGCCTGTGAGGAGCTGGGATTGCTCAAATTGCTGGGAGGGGACAGAACCAGGATTCTGTGATTCTGTGTGTAATGATAAAAATGGGGTTTTTGGCTGGAGGAAAGCTGCTGCTCAGGAACTGGGTGGGCAGTATTTGGCATATGGTGAGCAATTGAGCTGCACATCACTTTTATGCATGTGTGTGTATGTGTATATACACACATATGTATATATTCGTAATTTTCCCCTTCCTTTTTAGCCCTATTAAAGTGTCTTTGTCTCAACCCACAAATTTTACCTTTTTCCAGTTCTCTCCCCTATCCCACTATAGGGGGTAGAGGAGAGCCAGTGACTGTGTGGAGCTGAGACGCTTGCCAGAGTAAACAGCAGCAGTAATTCAGGAGTCACTGCAAGAAAAGAATTCACTTCTAGTTGTCTTAATTTGCTGTTCCTTATTTTCAGTATGTATTGTGAGCATTACAGGCTGAGTGAATCAGCAGTTCGTGTCAGAACAATCTTTGATTAGGTAACTCAAAAATTTTCTGAAAAAACTACTCCAGTGGGGATAACTAACACTGTTTTTATTTCTGTTTTCTTAGAAAACTTGCTTTCAAGTTCAGAACTGAGTTCTTGTTCATGTTAAGCAAGCTACTTATTTTCTTCTTTTAACAGCATGAAGATATCAGTCAGGTGGAGAGTATTTTGGCTGTAAGTCTCTTCTTTTTGTTAGTGCTTCTGCATTTTTGGTTTATTCTTATTGATTGCTTGGATCAGTAATAACCATAGAGACAGCTTAGCGTGCCTTTATTATTATAAATTTGTCAAATGTTAGAGATTTTGGCTTGAAAAAAGTGGGGATTTAACTTTTCTAGCTGGTCTGTTTCAAATTTTATTTATTTATTTATAATACTTATACTCCAAATAAAAATCTCCTTTTTTTTCTAGTTCATGTAGCAAGATACTCAGAATGGAAAATGAATTATCTATTAATTCAGTTTTCTTAACAGTAGAAATTTCTTATTTAAAGAAATAAGTAGTCTCCAGAATGCCTTGAGGTTTTGATATTATGCATGGATGAAATTTTCTTGTGAAATGGTTCACTTTGCCAGGAAAGTTGATGCTCCTTGAAATGATGGAGCAAGGCTTTGCTGTTTAATTTAGTGCTGTATTGCCATCTTATGTGTTTAGAAATTGCAATTGTCTTATGTAGTCTTTTGCAAGTGAGTTAAGGCTGTAATGGAATCTAGGTTTATGTGTCCCTATTTAAGGAATCTCCTTTCTACATTCTTCTATGATTCTATGATTTTATTATTAAGTTACTGGAACATGAACAAAAAAAGAATTGCCTGTGCCTAAAAGATACAGTCTCTGCTATCTGACATCTCTATCTGAAACTTGCAGTCCAGCTGTTTCCCCAGAGTCTACTCATTGCTTTTTTGTTTCATCTTAACACATCTTTTCACTGGAATTTCAGAAAATGGTGGCATTTTATTTACAAAACTTGAACTCCAAGTAATTTAGCCACTCGTTGGCAGTCTTTGAGTGTATCCATGTTCAGCAAGGCAGGGATGTAAGCATCTCCTCATTTGCTTGTGTCTGTATTTTTTTTTTTTTTCCTGCTCCTACAGCAAATATTAGACCTTCCTTTCTTGTAGAAATAGACCATCCAAAACCGCAACAGGTCACAGTCTTTTCATCTGAGTATTTAGAGGTGAATTTATTTTACACAGTGGTTAAGAAATGATATGTTGTTTGCTTGATACAGTTCCACATGTTATTTATTTATTTTTAACTCAATTCTTAGTTAGCAGTGACTTCTTGTAACTTCCTATGGAAGCAGTGTAGCCTCAGAATCCTGCCCCAGTCTTCCTAAATACTCCTCCTCTGAAATGGTGACAATCAGATATTATGTCTGTGTGCAAAGATTGCAGTCTAAATGCTTTGTGTACCATGCTTGCACAGCAGTTTGTATTACTATCAGATTACACTTGCTTATCTCCCATTGAAGTAGAGTTAAAAAGAGTTACTGATCCTCCTGGTATGGGAGGAGGAGAAAGTACAAGAAAATGCGGTTGCTAAGTGAAAGAAAAAGATTGTGAGCATTTTCTGTCAGGATTACTTTTATTTTTCTTGAAGAAGGGGGGGGGGGGAAAGCAGGTATATGTTAGGAAGTTAGCATTCTTAGTGAGATACTTTTTAAAAACACCATACGAGTTACAAGTATCAGAGCTCCTATGTGGCCACACTTGTCCTACAAACTGTTTCTGTCTCAGCAAACATTACACTCAAAATTTTCTCTGGAATGCCTGAAAAAAACCCAGCATGCTTAGAGCTTCACGGACTAGAAGTTAACAAATGAGAGTGGATTGGGAATAAAGCAAGATAATGAGCAAGAAGGACTTCAAGATTGTGATTTTTTTTTTTTTGGTAATAAACTTTTGTAATAAACTAATAACATTGAAGAAAAAAATTAATTAGTACATAGTAGGAATTAGAATACTTTGTATTAGAGCACGCCTAATTTTATTGTCACTTGTCAGGTAGCAGAAAAGGCTGGGCTATCCTCTGAGCTCACCCAGAAGCTACTTGAAATGACTTCATCCCCTGCAGTGAAGAATCGTCTGAGGGAGACAACTGAGGAAGCGATAAAATATGGGGTGAGGTGCTTCCAGTGCCTTTTGTCACAGCTGTGCATTCCTTCCCCATTAAGAACACTGGGAAGCAAGGAACAATGAAGGTGATGGTTAGAAAGCACTATACAGATAATCTCTCTTTTGCTTTTTGAGCATGTAAAAGCTAACTCACTGGTAATTTATTGCGTTGTCATCTGGGAAGCCCATTCAGCCCATTCTACTTGGTTGACAAGGATGGGCAGCTGAAGGGCCAGAATCAAGAAATACCATCTATCGCTACTTAAGATAAAACTGTGGGTTTACCACATTGCTTTTTTTGCTCATTCAGGAGGGGCATACAGTCTTTGGAGAGCCCTTTACTTTCTGATAGCTCCATTAGACTCATCTTTCAGAATGAAGTTGAGATGAAGAGAAGGGAAAAAAGGCAACATTTTGGATTTTATTCCTGAACACTGATCATGCGCCTACAAAAGATTCTCTCGTTATAACATTCACAATTTAATCTCCATGCTATCAATAGGCTTTTGGGATGCCTGCTGTTGTGGCACATGTTAATGGAAAACCTCATCTCTTTTTTGGCTCTGATCGTTTGGAGCTGCTAGCCAGCATTATAGGTGAGTGTGTAGCTAAATGAAATAGTGTTCATGTTTTTCAAATATTAAATAATGTTGAGTATACTTCTCAAGGGATGAAACTATTGTCTGGAATATATTTCAGTACATTTAGAGTGACCAAATATGTAGTCCTTTTCCCAAGCAAGAAATAATTTGAGTTCTCAGTCCTTTCTCACTGGTGTATGTTTCAAGGTTTTGTGCACCATGTGCCATTTTAAATTACTATTAAATTTGTTTAGTTTTCACAGTGTTCATATTTAACTATTTAATACTGGGCATTACATCTTGGATAAGATGAAGACTATGGGTGACACTGACTTTCTGCTGTTCTGGCATTTTACCTTAAATCTGTTCCTCCTTAATAAAGAACATGCTATCACAGCTCTTAAATCCATAGCTCATTGTTACATAACTACACAAAATTTTAAACAGAAATCCATTGACTGACCATCCTCTTTGATGGCAATGTACTTATTTTCATTTCCCTATTAATAAAATGCATCTTAACTTGGTCACCTGAGTTAGAGGGAACTGACTTCTGATCTTACATTTAGCTGCACTTGAAGAATAGTAGAGCAGTAACTAGGAAGAGTTGTATGTAATTTGGTCCAATGCATTTGTGGAAAAATGTCAGCAGCAGATCATCATTAATGTAAATTAAATTTGGTCGTAGATTAAACTGAAGGAAACTTTTGGATGCTTGTTTTCTTTTTTTGAATGGGTTTGGAGTATTTAAAAATATTCTTTGTGAAAATGAGAGTGAGGAATATGAAGTTTTAAACAGCCATTTTGACAATTCTAAATCCTAACTGGAATGTTCTTCCTGCTTTCACTAGTTTTCACTTCAGATTGTTTCTCTGAATCCCCAGCCTCTTACCCTTTTTCTCTTCCTTACCTCCAGCCCCTGAAAAGAAGTAGTCTTTAAAACATTTGGCTTCAGCATAGCATTCAGGACTTGCAGAATTTCTTATCTGTAACAGAGGAAATAATTCTTCCATACCACTTCATTTGTAACTATGCAGTAAAGGATGCTGGAAGCTGCCTGAAGCATGCCATACAAGATAAATATTTGTATTCCATCATCAGTATTTGCCCTTCAAAGGAAGAGTAGGAATAGACATTCAGCTGCAGAAATGTGACTAGACTATTATTTATCTATATTAAATTTTAACTTTCTCTTATGTACTGATTTGTCTTGCAGGTGAAAAATGGCTGGGACCAGTTCCCTCAGCTCCAAGCCCAAAAATGTGAAAAGTCTTGGGGAAATACCTAAGAATGAAAAGATAACACTTACATATACGGTTGATCTTTGGTAATTATGTATCCAATTTTATAGAGATGGCTTTCTCTTCCTTAACTGCTAACTCTACAGATCAGTTTCATTTCTAGTTAAGAAGTTTGAGATTTACCAATATGAACAATCTGATCTGTTCTTTACAAATACAAATGTATTGCTTTCAAAGATTAATGTTTAACATTAAAGATTTAGCTTCTTTCAGGTTAAACATCATCTTTTTCCAACTAAAAGTATGAGGATTAAATTATTATGGGACTGATATCTTGATGATGCAGAGAGTTCTCATATCTTCCCACCTGTCAAACACACATACAGATGTGTTGGCCACATTTGCCTTTTAAGTCCAAGATACAACAAAGACGGAAGAGGCACAGGACAAGGCATTCATGCTTCCATTCACCTTGCAGCACAGCAATTGGTTAGACTAGTGGAAGACAGAGAGAGAATTCAAGTCCAAAGCAAAATCTGGGAAACAAGTCAAGTACTTCAGAAATAACTGCTCCCTCAACTGGACGGTATTTATACCTGCACTCATGTGACTGACACTGGAGATCACCACACATGCACATTCATAGTCACCAGCTCCAGCCCTTGCAAAAGTTTTTAATTAATGCCAATTTTGCAGTAGCATCCTTGGAAGACAGTGGTAAACATGATGTAATCTCAGTTGGCAACCAAACTCAACTATGTTTTGCTTCCTCAAGAATGGCCTTGTTGCTGACTGTTCAACAGAGATCTAGGATGTGACTATGAGGGACTTGGCATTATACAGTCTGCAGAGGTGAAGATATGCAAACAATAAGATAAAAATCAAAACATTTAATTTGCCACTCCCTCTTCTGACTACAGTCCTTACAATTTGCACACTAAAATTGTTCGAAAACTTGGCCTTACATTGGCTGAACTGGAATGGCGTATTTGAATGTTTCCTCACTGCCTCTGATGCATCAGTGAAGGAAGCAGAAGGTCTAGCAGCAGCTGGAATCTGTTTTTGTCTCTTAACGTTAAGGTAAAACACATGCTCAGTCACGGAACAGCGAGTTCAGTGGAACAAAGCAGCAGAAAAAGACCAGTATCCATGTTCTTATAGCTCTAAGTGTTTGTTTCCCCATCATCCACAATTTTTCCTTCTTACATCTCGTATGCATCTTCAGGAAATCCAAACTCAAGTTTTTCCTTATAACTCTTATTGCCTATGATAACCACTAGTAAGTGATCACATCCTTTGCAATTATTTCAGTGAGGATGCATATTGTTGTAACTCTGCGTACATACTTTGAACAAAATTTGCCTGTTTGTGAGCTATCAACTATTTGTGAATAGCTGGAAGAATTTTCTTCTCTTAAAGATAATGTCTCTTCTATCCAGCTATATATATCTCAGTTCCTCAGAGCTTCACATCTTCATCACTTTCAAGGTAGTGTGATGTTTAACTTGTCAAAATAGAAAGGGTACCAGAAAATGAGACAGATTGTGAGACTACAGAGAGACTTTGAAAGATACAGGCAAAAGTGGACTTTGAATTCTAGGGAACAAGCCCAGAGCTGTGTTCTGCTTTGCTCTATTAAACACCTCACCAGGAAATTCAGTTGAACTTTGACATCTAAGGCAAACCTGTGAAACTGCCATGAAGGAGTAGGTACCACTAAGGCTAGGCTAAAAGCCAGCAAACAAAGATAGAGATAGGCACCAAGTCAGAAAATAAGCAAAAGAAAGTGGCTCACTAAAATAATGAAACCACAGAAAGCAGAGAATATGTGCAGAGAAGATTGGGTGGCATCTGAGCAAAAGAAACAGCAAGGCAAGAACAAAATAAAACCAAATGTAGATTATTGCAGATAGAGGTGTCTCAACAAGAAAATGTTGTTCACTGTGGCAGTTCACTGTGTTGTTCACTGCAGGCAACCAAAAAAGGCAGTGCTTATATATATTAAACAGGCCATAGAAAGTTGGCCATAGAAAACCATTTGGAGAAGAAGGAATAAGATTAATTGTCTTCACTGTGAAGCTGTACAATATTTGTTGCACTCTTTCAATATGGGAAGAGATAGCCCAGAAGCCTGCCTCTGCCTTGACTCACTGCTTTATGATACCTTTCCATGGCAGTTACCTGTGCTTCTTACCCGGTGTGCACTGAAACAATTCTGCAGCATTGACTTTCACACACAGCATTAAATGGAGACCTGCAGAACAAGGTAGTTCTTTAACTATCCCCTCCAAGTACCTTCTTGTCCTTTCTTGTCCCTTTAACCCTCAGCAAAGACTCCTAAATTAAGTTTCTCTCTTTCTCCCATCCTTACTGCTGTGCAAATGAAAAGGAAACATTTTACTAAAGCACATAGTGGACAATGGTGCTGACCATCTGATTTGCTGCCTTTTCCAGTGAAACCAGCAACACTGCTAGAAGGAAATAACTTGCTGCCTAGAAGGGAACCAAGCACAGAACAATAAATAAACAGTTACCAAAATTTTTCATGGATTTGTGGACTGTCCAGTGACAGTGAAAGGAATTTATCCAAACCTGACTTGATTAATATTACCATCATTTACTCTCTAGATTGAAACACTTGGAACGTGGCTTTCATTTCATACTAAAAATCACTGAATTCGGCCACTGGTTCCAGACTGTTTCATTGTAACACCTGTTCTGTCTTTAATTTCTTGTCTAGAGAAGTTCTGACTACAAATTGTCCAACAAGTACTGAAGTCCTTCTCCAACTTTCCCATAAGTTTCCCTTGGTCCTTTTTTCAGTTTGTGAATCAGTCTACTATCCTACACAAAAACTAGTTTAAAAAATAAAGCAGGTTTTAGTAGGTGACAGCATCATGCAGTCAAGCTAAAAAATGCTATTACTGAATACATCTGTGCAATCTGAATGCCTGATCTTTATGAATATATGCGCTCATTGTATTTGTCTTCTCCTCCCTTTGCTCCCTCTCGCAGGCCTCCAACATCTAGCTTCAGGGTTTAAGGAATCTGCCTATCGTCACATATCAATACCATATTTGAGCCAGGATTTAAATACTTTGCAAAATTCAAAGATTTAAGGCATTCTTTTGCTTTCTGTCATCATTTGCTTATATTCACCTTACACGTTTCACAAAGTATGAGTGTGATGCCTTTCAGATAACAGACTTCTTATTTACGCTGTTCAATTTCATTTCCAAGTGACCTTCATCCTACACAATAAGGATAGCTTTGAGTTTTAAATATTGCAATTTCATAAGTAGTATAGTTTCTAGCATTTCATGCATAGCTGTATTAGAACATTAAATTTTAATTATTACTCTTTTATTTGAATCAGGGGAAAAGGTAGAGAGTTTGAATTAAGAATTGGTGTTAGTGCAGGATGTCCTAGGGGGTCAAAAGCAGCAGACAAGAATGGCTGTGATCATTTGATCATGAAATTTAAGGAAGCTTTATAACTCTGGTAATGAGAGATTCCCGCTGTAGCATGGTAAGGCAAGATATTGTTCAAAGGTATAATTCTTTTCTTTTTGAACTTTACATGATCATATCAATTTTTGTTATGGGACAGATGAGATGCAACTGTGTTTCAGCAGTTTTTTAAAGATGGAGTATCCCCTTTCCCAGCTTCATGATGTAATTCAAAATGGTGACGAATTAAAAGTCAAAACTTGTAAATCACTGCCATTTGTTGTGAAACTGCTGCTTTAAGCAGTGTGAATCTGCAGTAATCAGGGTTCTGTTCCATTTCGGATATATCCCAGTACTTAGATATTGAATTTCTATCTGTGTTCTAGTTAACAACTAATAGATCAGCTGATTTAAAAAATATATAAATCTAGAACAATTGTATGTATATTAACAAACCTAGGGATGTCTTACTCAAAGTGTTAAGGTCTATAACTTAATTTATATCCTGACTTTGAGGCCAAGACAGTCACTCCTGCCTTAGGTGGTATGCACTAGCTTATGAGACACTGGTGCTTTAAAGACAACTCAGAAAACAGCAGTTTTGGCAGTAACTGTTGTCTGTGTCTTCATCTAGTTTTGGCAACATAATCATAGTCTCCTGCCTTTCTTTTTCTTTTCTTTAACTTGTATCCCATGATCCAAATGGCAAATTGAACTACAGAAGAAAGTGCATATGGGTCAAATTCATGAATTCCATTATCCCTGAGTAAGATCACAGCTTACAGTGGGCATCCACACTGTCTTAAGTTTCTTCAGAAAGAAAAAAAAAAAGAAAGAAAAAAGAAGAGTTTAGTCTGATTTTTACACAGTACGTTAATTGTGGCTGAATCATTATTGGACAACTTACTAAAGGGAAAAACTAAAACACTTGGATGCTTCTCCATGCTCCAAGATGTTTTCTTTGTTTTTAGTTCTGCTTAGTTCAGTTCATTCTTTGGCTAAGGATAACTAAAGTTCCTCCATATTGCATAGATGAATGCAAATTATCTGCATTCATTTAAGTGTAATTTTGTCTAGGAACACTTGCTTGTATTGCCATACTTAGTCTTTTGGCAATCGCTCTCCTATCAAGACTGGTAGCACAGAGATGGGAAACCTTAGTATTTGCAAAAATGAGAATAAATTTATCACCCCCATTTTGCTTCCTAAAATTTCTAGCACAAAGAATTGCTATTAATCCCATCTTGTCTTCTACCTCAAAAACTGACAGAATTTCTAGAAAATAGAATTTCAAGAACTTTAATTTCACTTTATCCTACAAAAGTGTAGGCTCAACTCTGCTATCTCATGTGCCTTACTCAGACATGTAATCTTTTATTACCTTCTTCCCCTTCATGTATTATATACACATTCTAAATGCTGCAAATGGTGACATCACCACAACTTCTGAGAGCTATCAGCAATTGCACTCAAGACTACATGTCTATAGTCTCTTGGTTGGGTGAATTGATTTCACACAGTCTGAAAAATGTCACAATGTCCATCCACTTTAACTGTGTCTCTCGGCTAAGTCAGAAGTCCATACACAAACCTACATGCTTGTTTGTGTACCTTTACACAACATATTGAAAAAATAAAATTTCTGCATGGAAGAACTAAGAGTAGATATGATACAACAAAAAATTACCACTCCTAGACCTTGTACTATCAACGTGGCTTAAGGATCCAGCAAGGTTTTCTGGCAAGAAAAGTTGCAGGAATGAAAATGTTGCATGAGTGAGCAGAAGGGAGAAGGAGAGAGAACTTCAGCCAATGTAATAAAAAGTTTAGAGTGGATTACTGTGATCAGTTCCACTGTGCTTTATGTAAGGCACACAGATAGCAGAGGTAACTCGATTTGTAGAATGATTACACTAGGATTTTTTATGGCTTGTGGCTGGATAGGTATATCAATTATTAAAAACAGCACTGCATCATGTCTGTGATATGAGGCTTCAGGATGTTTGCACAGAGACCTCTGGGAGACACAGAGAGCAAGAGAACCACAGTTACTACCAGGCCAAAAGGAAGATGAATGCTTCTATGTGATGATAGCCGATTTTCATTTGCACTTATTTTCTGCTTCCATTGGTATTTCATGCAACAAGTAAACATGAGCTACTCACCTTTCACAGGGAACCAACTCGTGTACCTGCTTGGTCTACACGTGGTGTCACAGAGGCAAAAGGAGCAAATAAAGTTCACATATTTGTGAGGGAGTGTGTGGCCAGATTAGATCCATGTGGCAAATTAGAACCCTCCCCCCCATTAGTACCTGGTATAGTGATCCAGTGACAGATATCAGGCCAAAGGGTATAGTACCGAAGGCCAGGACATGCCCCAGTGCAAGCGGAGGTGTTGACACAAGACACTAACACAGCTTGTATCCTACCATGGAGGGCAGGCCTACCCCTCCTCATACCTGTTAAACATCTGTACTAATCCCTTTGAGGTTGTTAAGTTCACAGGACCACTGCTGGGAGCAACAGCACTCCATGCTTCAGCGTCCATGAGGAAACATCGCGACACCCAGTGGTGGACTGTTGACCTTTCAGGAACAGGTAAGCACAGACCTGAAGCACTACCGGTCCTTGAAGAAGATATGCCTCCTGAAGGAACATCAAGTATTGGCCCTACAGAACCATGAAAAGACCGTCAACAATCATCTTCAACGCCTTGATATCCAGTATTGCAACAGGTATTTTATGTGTGTCACTATGTACGTTGTACTTTGGATCACCAAAACAGCAGGAGCTTACCCCCAACTTCTCAATCGCTGGTTCATGCTGTGAAGGGGTGGAGTGCAGTGAAATTGCCAGGTCACTGCCTGAACCAATGATTGAGCACCAGGTGAGAAGGTGTGGCTAACCCAGGGATCTCAGGTGCAAGCAATGCACCTGAATGACTGGAAGGGGTGGAGACTGGATCCACCTCTCTTCACCCTCATTTAAGGATTAGCAGCCGAGGGAGCAATATCTCTCTGGATAGAGATTGCACTTCTCTCCAGCTATCACAGGTCATTGGAAAGGATGAGCTAATTTCCTTCTATTACTATTCCACTGTGTGAAGGCACTGTCATTGCCTTCTTTTGCCATACAAAAGTGAAGGGACACCCTAGCTGCTATCAGCCTGTCATGTTTGGTTTTACGTGAATTTCCAGTCAGTACAAGAGAACACTGAAAGCACTTTTTCATGTCACTGAATTTACAAAATGTTACTGCTGAGTTTCTGGATAGTTTTAACACCAGGAATCAGGAAAGCATGTGCACAAAATCACAGAAACACCAAGGTTGGAAAAGACCTACAAAATCATCTAGTCCAACCATCAACCTATCATGAACAGTTCCCACTAAACCATATCCCTCAACACAAAATCCAAATGTTCCTTAAACACCTCCAGGGTCAGTGACTCCGCCACCTCCCTGGACAGCCCATTCCAGTGCCTGACCACTCTTTCAGAGAAGTAATATTTCCTAACGTCCAGCCTAAATCTCCCCTGGCACAGCTTGAAGCCATTCCCTCTAGTCCTATCACCAGTTACACAAGAGAAGAGGCTGATCCCCAGATCACTACAACCACCCTTCAGGTAGTTATAGAGAGCACATTAACTAGTGTTATTAAATGGTTAACTAAGAAAGTTTAAGGAAGCAGAGAAGAAGCAGAAACGAATTGCCAAGATCTTCATTATTTTTTTCATGTCTTATTAACAAGCTATTAGGATTGAGTGTCAAGCTCTTGCACAGACAAGTCCTGCTTGCAGACAGGAACATACTCAAGTCAAGATGCCCATCTTGTACACTTTGTGTGTATGGTTGCCAATAGACAAGAGGGGTTTAGTGGCTCCTGTAGATCCACTCCACTAGATTTTTAGCTTCTGTATGGTTGTTATGAAGGGAATATTCAAGGCATTATATATGACAAATTGGATCTAATGATCGCAGCTCTCTTAAATATTTTGCGTATTAAGGTAGCCTGGAGCATGTTTCATATCTGTCAATGCAAGACCTTTAACGTCAGCTTCTCCTAGCTTACAATTTGGGAACCACTACTTGTCACTTTCTAGTAGAGAGTAGCTCATGAATCTCACATGCTTATATGCTGTGAAATGTATTATGTGTGTAACACTTATGGTGAAATACTCACCATAGAGAGGAAGTGCTGAAATATGATGAGTAACTCAAAAAGCTAAAAGAGGCAATAAAGAGAAGACAACTTCAATATATTAAATATATTTATTCATTCAGAAACACTGCAAAACATGGCCGGTCTCGACCTACAAGCAGTATTGAAACCTAAAGCCCCAGGCATATTACATGCCAGCATGCAATAAGGAGAACAGTAAAGGCAAGGCCAATATAGGCCAAAGATATTTCCTCAAGAGGTTACAAAATATATTTTGGAGGAAATGAAAGCTAACATATTTCTCCCTTGGCAGAGCCAATCAATAAAATGAGCTGGGACCTAAATTTCCACTAAGTATCACCTTCTTAGCACCCCTCCTCAGCAAACGTCTTCATCCTCTTTCTTTGCTTATACAGTATGGCCTCACCAGTGCTTACTAAAGACAGAGGTGGAAATGTGTTCTTTTGCTTTTGAATTAATTCTCTTTCTGAATAAGTCTAAGGGAAGAGGAGGTGCTCAAGGTAGCCTCCTTTCCCCCAGCATTTATAGAGTCTGGTTCAGTCACTGCTGATTGGACAGTGGGAAGAGCCTAGAATCAAAATGCTCCAAAATAATCTCTCTGTCCTTCTTCCTCTTCATAATTCCTGCTCCAGGGACTGCCAGTTGGGCATTATGTGATGTCACTTGGTCTTTCCACAGTCCTTGAGGTCCTTTAAGTTCATGCTCGTCTTAGCCAGTACTCTCATTTCACCCCAAAAGTCTTGCCAGTATCTTCAGTGAGGTAAACAATTAGTAGCACCCGGTCCACTCCTAATTGGCTTGATGTCCCCACTCAGATGCGTCTGATGAGGGAAAACATATGCACACAAAACCTGTGTACTTTTCCTAGGATTTGGACATACACAGTACAGTGCTTGATTTTCAGATGAAACTTGGAAAGAATCCCGATCCTGGGGAGTTTGCTACCTTGTTACTTAGGCTGGGTTCATTCTTTCACCATGTCCTCGGGAGAAAGGATTATTCAGAAGGCTACCTGGACAACAGAGCAGAAAAAACTAAGGATAACTGTCCCTGTATGTTGGAGAGTAGACAGGAGTAGTCCAAGTGAACAATGCAGTTTCAAATATTGCATCTGACTACTGCAGAAGAGTGTTTTAGAAATTAGTAAGTGAAAGTAATTATTGGTTTGTCTCTACTGTACAAGAATTTATCTGTTATTTTATGTTTCCTTTATATTTATGTTTAGGTTGATTTTAGTAGGACATAGATGAAGAGTCCTGATCACTGAAGTCTGGAATTTGCAATGCTTAACAACAGCAACAACATGCTATACTTTTTGCCATAGATAATGCTATTCTCTAAAAAGAATCAGAAATGGGTTTATGACATACTACCAGGGACAACATTATTGATGTAGTCTGCCTGAAATATTCTAGACCCAGCTGGAATTCATTTTGTATTAGAAATATGCCTATAAAGTGATGGTGATTTGTGGTTCCATAATGAGTAAACAGTAAGCAGATAATTTTTTAGAACTTTAGGGATTTCCAAGACAGATTGCTAGAATCACAGCCCTAACCCATCCCTACAATCTTGTGCTAACACTGTCTTGGTGAAAACTGTTTGCTTTACCTAGTGAAATTACATATCCTTAATTCCCTATCTCAGGCATGTTGCTGAAGGTATAACTGCATGTGGGCTGGTCCCTAGCTCTGAAAAACTGGCTAATCACAAATAGTGCAAAACTCCATGCTGCATCATACCTCATATGCAAACTGTGCATGTGATTTTTCATGTCGACAAACAATATTCATGCAAATGTTATTAGTGAAGACCTGTGCAATGTTTGATCTCTGATTGATTTGAAACAACTAGCTCACCTCCTCAACTCATGAACAGAGAATGGAAGTTGGGAAGTGGGAGGAGCCTACAATCAAAGGCCGAAGTGAGGAACCAAGTGGATTTTTTTCCCAGGTCATGTACATATCTATAGGTCAGACCAGCCATAAAGTATTTTCGTACTAGGAAAAATTCTTGCTGGTTACACAAGTTTACTTCAGCTGCCTAATCAGATTAAGAGTCCCTCATATCTGTTTAGCCAGGAACTTGAAGTTTGCTAACAAGCTCCCAGAAAGGACGGAGAGGAGGAGGTGGAATTATACAGCAATGTTGGAAGAAGGATGCTGCTGACCAATAAGCAGTTGCACGTCCTGCATTCTCACTAGCAGCGTCTCTGCTAGCATCTTAAATGTTCTGTATCTTCTAATTATGCTTTCATCCTCCTCCCTGGAAAAATTTATGACACCCACCTAACCCAAAAATGACTGTCATAGAAACATACTCACCAGAAGTGCACCTTCACTGTGACAAAATTCTAGACAGCCCTACACCACATAATTGGGTAGATGAACTTCTGCAGATTGTCATCAGCCTGTAATTCTTAGGGTGAATTAGGGCTAGTTAGAATGAAGGCCCTTACTTGTCTGACTTGGCACCTAGAGCAGCAACCACAGGGGCCTGGTTTTAGGGTATACTTCCTGACACTTTTTTAAAGGAACTCCAATACTGAAAAAGGGATACATCTTACTACAATGTACTCACTGTCCCTTTCTGCCACAGATTTTGTACAAATTCTCAGGAATGCGCCAAGCTGTTCCAGAAAGTTAGCTACAGTCTTTGATTTAGAATCATAGAATCATAGAATGGATTGTAAAGGACCACAGTGATCATCTAGTTTCAACCCCACCTGCTATTTGCAGGGTCACCAACAACCAGAACAGGCTGCCCAGAGCCATATCCAGCCTAGATTTCACAGAACCCAGAGCATCCTCTGGTGTCTTAGAAATGCAAATGTGTGGTTTCATAGAATCATGGAACGGTTTGGCTTGGAAGGGACCTTAAAGACCATCTAGTTCTGACTACCTTGCTCTAGATAGGGTTGTCACCCACTAAATCTGGTTGTCCAAATCCCCCTTCCAATCTGGCCTTGGACAGTTCTAGAGATGGAGCAGCCACAGTTTCTCTGGGCAGCATGTTCCAGTGCCTCATCACTCTCATAATAAAGAAATTCTTCTAATCTAAATCTATCCTCTTTTCGTTTAAAACTGTTACCTCTTGCTGTAATGCTACACTCCCTGATAAAGACTCCATCTTCATCTTTCTTGTAGGTTCCCCTTAAGTAATGGAGGGAAATTTTCTGCAAAGTACTGAAGTATCCTAGATAGGATTCCATCTTAGCATAATACAGCTTATCAACAGCATTGCTGCACTGCTAGGAAAGTGTTATTTTCATAGAATCATAGAATCACAAGGTTGGAAAAGACTTACAAAATCATCTACTCCAACCATCCTCCCATTACCATTGCTACCACAAGCTATTAAACCATATCTTGTAGCCCCTCATCCAGACACTTCTTGAATATTCCCAGGGACAGCGACTCCACCACCTCCCTGAGCAGGCCATTCCAGTGTCTAACCACTCTCTGAGAGAAAAAGTTTTTCCTCACGTCCAACCTAGATCTCCTCTGGTACAACTTGTGGCCATTTCCTAGGGTCCTGCTTGTTGCCAGGGAGTAGAGGCCAAACCTCTCCTCATCACAACCTCCCTTCAGGAAGTTGTAGAGTGCAATGCGGTCTCCCCTGAGCCTCCTCTTCTCCAGACTAAGCAATCCTAGCTCCCTCAGCCGCTGCTCATCGCACTTGTGCTCCAGACCCCTCGCCAGTTTCATTGCCCTTCTCTGGACATGCTCCAGGGCCTCAATGTCTTTCTTGTAGTGAGGAGCCCAAAACTGAACACAGTATGGCCTCACCAGTGCTGAATACAGGGGGATGATTACCTCCCTGCTCCTGCTGGCCACACTATTTCTAATGCAAGCTAGGATGGCATTGGCCCTGATGACCACTTGGGCACAGTGTTTCTGTAGTACACTTCAGAAATGTGAAGAACTATGCTGTAGTCTATTCCATGCAATATTTTGCAGGAGAACACTGGGTGTAGTATGGAGTGCTTTTGCAACAAAACACAGATAAAATACATGAGAACATAAAACCTGCTATCACACCTTGTGAGGACTGAAGACAGGCTAGCTCAAGCCAGTTAGGAGCAGCAATATGAGTCCTGCTTAAAAAGGCAGAATTTGAATAAAACCAGCTTCCCAACATACCCTTGTCCAAGTTTCTCTATAAAGCTCCATAATCACTTCAGAGCAAACTACAAAGGAAACATATATGTGGGTATTTGTAACTGGATAGCTAGTGCTTTGTATATGCTGTTAGATAGAAATTAATATTATGCTCAAGATATAGCCAAAATCACCTTTAAGCAGCCCAGTCTTTATTTTTAAGAAAGTGAGTTCCTTGTGTACGTGCTCTAAATTTCTGTTTCAGGGCCAGACATCAAATTTTTAAGATGTTGCAATGCCTTATGTGGACAATCTTGGTATAGCATTCAAGAGAGCAAGACATGCACTAGTCTTTCTTAAGTCATCACCAAACACAATGAACATCTTTCAAACATTAAAATCATTTTCAACTCACTTGCTCTTCCTGCTGGGGAACTCTGGGGAGCTGGGACTGGATGATCCATCAGATTTCAGGTCAAGCAAGGTTTCTGGACTGTCTACCATCTTCTGTATCCTCTCTGCAATGTCTCTGCTTGGAAGAAAGAGAAATCAGCTATATCGTAGGGCCAGAGTTCACCACTTTCAGAGTTCACTATTCACACTATTCTAATACTTCCTTCTGGGCCACATTACAAAGCTGGATCTCTCACATACGCAGGAGGGAAAGCAAATGTATCTATACTGAAAAGAACAGACGTCTTACAAGCTGTTAAGGGCAGTGTATTAGAAATGGTCAAGTTTTTGCTCATTTTAAATTTATATAATTTATATAAAAGACTAAATTAACTTCAGTATTTTACTTTAATTCTTCAGCTTTTTCTTTCGCTGCTCACTCCCTCCCCACCCCCACCTCCCCCAACACACACACATTTCATAGGTCTTGAAAAGATCTAGGTTTCATTAGAGAGCTTTTATACTAATTGCATAAAGGATTTTCTGATTAACTGAAGTTAGTTAATGTCCCCATTTCAGGATAGTTCCAGTATTTTCTTTTTTCTGGTACCTGTCAAGATACTTCTGAAGAAAACTGTCTACGTAAGAAGCTTAAAATTGAGGAATGTTACTTAAACAGGAATGGAAAACACTCATTTCCCACCTCAGGTTTCTGTTATATTTGTTGGTGTTTTCAGCAATGCAGTTTACAGTTCCTCATGTACTCTCTTGGTCAGCTATCTTACCTGCACTCTTCACCTCACTGTTCATCATGTCTTCTTTTGTGCTAACATAACTGTTTGTGAAACTGAAAATGATTCCAATAAAACAATCTTGAAAATTAAACAACCCTGAAACTTCTATGACACATGAACAAGCAGGATGGACTGGCTTAGCTCAGACATCCAAGGCTGCATTTTATTAAGCTACAACTTCAGGATGAAGTCACACATGACTTGTTGAGTTCACTACTGCCAAAGAAAGAGCCTGCAAGTAAGTTTAACAAATCAATGGGAGAGACATAACACAAGAGTGACCTCTTTATTTCGTTGCAGACTATATCCCAGGGCCAGAGAAATAGCCTCCATTCCAGCCACTTTTGCTGAGTATAGCTTCTATCAGTTCTGGTACATATCAGACATTTCCATGAGCTAGCTCACAGCAGAACCTGGCAGACACTTATCCCAGTTGATTAATGGGCTAAATCAATTCCATGAAGGGTCCAATAAGCATTCAAGTTATCACAAGGAATTAGATGGGACTTAGTAGCTAAAAGAGATAGTGGAAGAGGGAATGCATGATGTCTGCTTTTCAGTAGCATGAACTGTTAGATCAGACCAATTGCAAGTGTAACCGCACATCAGGAACCACCTAAAAATACTTCCAGAAAAATCCAAAAATAAACTCACAAAATAAGGCTTGGCATTCCTTATATCTAAGTTTAAAAATAAGCAAAAAAAAAAAAAAAGCTAAGTAAGCCCAAAGGTTTTCTAATTCCTGTCTAGCAAAGAAAAGAAAAAGGAATTTAAATCCAGTTTTTATTCCTTGTTGTAGGAAACTTTTGCAAATCTTCAAAGGGGATAGGGAATGATATGGTACATAAAGTAACAGATTGAGAGACACAATTGCAGAATGTTCTAAAGTGCTGAGGAGCTGTGACTACTCTGTTGGCTTAGATTGTTACAGAGAATATGTCTCAAAAGATTTTTATTTTCCTCAAAGAAAGTTCTATACTATTTCTATTAAAATAATGCCATAGGTATCTCATTAAGTTCCAAGATAATAAATTGAAAGAAAGAAAGATTTAATAATTATTCCTGTTGTAAAATCACTGGATTCCATATTATAGATGGCTTTTGCCACTTACAATCTTTAAGCTGTTTCCAGAATTTCTTGCAATTGGGAAAACTGAGTATCAGGTGCAGGGCACTCACATAGCTTCTGAGAACCTGTGCACTCTTTAGAAGTGCTTTGTAACTAGAACTGAGACAACCTTTATGATTTAAATGTCATCTCTGGTGACCAGTAGAAAACCGAATGGTAGAATGGTTATGATTTTATCAAATACACCAAACTGCTCTTGGATCCTAAGACTTTGCTCTTCCAAATAGTGTTACTGTATATTTGTATCTGTTGTAGTCTCCATGGAAATCGGAGTCATTACTTTCAAAGTGATCTCTGTAATATATTTTGTCTATTTTAACTTCTCAACATGAGAACAAACAAAACCAAACAAGAACAGATTTTCCCTCACATAATACTGATTAAATACTGATTAAATACTGATTCTCCCTGTTTCCAAATGTCCTTTTTTTATTGTTGCTTTCTGTCATTCATCCACCTCTATATCAGATGCTAATCAGGACTTTGTTCCCATTCCAACCACTTCCAGTTCAGTCCTCATTCCTGACTACTCCCTTTCTGTGCATATCCATGCCCTTCTATATTCCTTTTCTCATCCCCTCCTGTTTTTTCTCTGCTTGTCTTATCTTCCCACAGCTCATACCTCTTTTCCTCCTGTATGTTCTCAATGCCAATGGCACTACTCCGTCGCCCATGGAAACGGCTGGTTCGAGTACGTGATGGGCTCCTACCAGGCAAGGCAAAAGACTAGAAAAAAGGAAAGTGTCACAGGAAGGAAGAAGGGAAACGAGACAGGAAAACTGTGGAGAACCAGAAGAGGTGGAAAGGAAGCTTGCAACACTAATCCAGATTCTCTCTTTCACTTTGCTATGCTATGTAGTAGCACAACCCAGCTCCAACAAGGCAAGAAAGAATACTTTCTGTCCCTGAAAGTTTCTGAAGCAAACATTCAAACAAGTGGTAAGAGAGAGACAGAGAGATACAACATAAACAGCAAGATATACAGCTAAAATACAGAGAAAGAAGATCAGGAAAGGAGGCAAAATCATTAAAAGGCAGTGAAAACTAGAAGTTAAAGGGGAGATGGAGGAAGCAAGCCCAAGTTAATACCATTCTGTGACTTTGCAACATAAAGAATGCATATAATTGAGTAAATGGTAACCTTGAAATTCCCACTCTGAAAATTACTTTCTTAGCTAACTCAGAGTTGTTTTTTCTTCAGTTTGCCTCTACTGACATTACTAATGGAGAGACTACAATAAGCTGCACATGCTTTGGCTAATGTGACAACATTTCCAATATTAGAAACCTGCATACTTTTCTGGAAACATATTCGTCATAGATTTATAATGCTCTTATCTTTAGTATCACTATGAAATAAGAAAGACTTTGATAGTGTATAGAAATATTCACTCTTTTTCTCATCCCAAACACTATTAACTCTGCTGTTTGTTCCAAATCTGAAAATTCTATCTACAGCAAAGGAGTATTTTGAACAAACATTGTCCATCTGTTTGTTTTAGAGAAAAAAAAAAAAAAAAGGCTGGTGAAATTGAGAAAATAATGGAAAAATTAGTGTCCTATTGTTTTCAGATCTAGTCATACAGTAGTACAGTACCATTTTGGTGAAAACACAGTGCAAGCGTTTTTTTTTAAGTTATGACAACCCACAGGATCTAATACAGGACAACAGAGATAAATGTTTGATGCAGAGTCTTGTTTTGTTTTCTTCTTCCAGTCTGCATCAATCTTAGTCCTAGTTTACAGATGAACTGGCGCTAGAGATAGGCACAGACAAAAAAGACTGCAACACATGTTTTCACTACTTGTGAAATGGAAAGATACAACAGAAAGAGATTAACAGATGGACAGCAGGACAAACTATTAGTGAAAGAGAAACAGTATGTACAGGTGGGTCACAAAGGTATGCCAGATTTCTTTTTACAGTCCACCCTAATACCTTACCGCAGCAATGGCCTTAGGGCCCTCAGCAACACTCTGGCTCAGAGCAAGGCCAGCTGTCGTCGGGCGGCTGGGCATGGTGGCTGGCTGCTGCTTTCTCATAGATATCCCCATGGTATCCAGGCTCTGGCTGCGGCCTCTGATCACCCGCTAAACAGAAGGGAGGCAGGGAAACAGACAAACACAGATACACATACAGACATGCACACAGTAGGGCACTATGAAAGTCACCACAGCAAGGCTAGAAAGCTGGGACAGACCAACACCAGAAACACAGAAATCCTAACTCCTCAAAGGCAGCATTTTACATATAACTCTTTTGTTGTTGTTGTTCTGGCTGATTTATGGAATTCACTGCTAGTAAAGAACTCTTCCTCAAATATATTCTCTGCTTTTATCTCATTTATTCTATTGCAGTAGAGATTCCCTCACAGTATCCCAGCTTCTAAGTAAGACAACATCATCTGATTCAGCCTTGCCCAGTATAAGCTACAAAACACAAAACTGAACTGAAGACTATAAGATCATGCATGAAGGCGAGAGCAGCCATATGAAAATACGCAGCATTTGAAAAAGCCATTTTCTGATAATTGTCAGTCTTTTTCAACCCTTTGCAAAGGTTGGTTGTGTACAATGACCTGTAAATTATAGTTTCTGGTATAAGTCAGAAAAGGACATTTTTGGAATAATTACTTTAAGATGTAGGTGGTTATGAAACTTCTGGTTAGTAGCAAGAGGAGGGCAGATTGACTGTACATACTAATAAAACTCACCAAACCGTCCTAGATCTGACCAAAGCTACACAGTAGTTACACGTGACTGGCTTAGTTCCACCATCCTTAATAACACCAATCAGCCCACCAGACAAAACAAGGGGAGTTCATCTAAAGAAAAGCTTTTTTAGTAAGTCTCTCTGTTAAGACAGACAAAGAAATTGGTGACACAGAAATGGGAAAGTGAAAGAAAGGAAAGTGATGCAAGATTTTTCCTATATAAGCAGCTCAAAATTAATTTCTCCTGTTTGTTTGAAAACTTTGCTTTCATTTATTGTCCTGATCCTTGCACTTTTCAAGTAAGTTGTCACCTGATCCTGACTTTTAAAAGTGAGAGAAATCTAAGCTGAACAACAGGAAATTAACTCTGGCTTTTAGAGGGAAAGTAAAGTATCAGTATTTTTTAAGCAATATATGCTAAGTTGTGTTGGAAACTCTTGCAGTGGGTCCTCCTACTCCTTCAGTCGTAATGAAAACGAACTGGAAGAAGTCTACTGTGAGAAATTAAAGCTGCTTCCTACTAGTTATTGCAATTCCTCTTGTAAGCACCTAGACCCTTCCCAACAAGTCAACGAATGAAACCCCACCTGACACTAGACACCAGCATGATGCATAAAGAAAGAGTCTGATGTCCTAGGGACAGTATAGGATTCCATCAAAGACCGAGCTTTAGCTCTACACAAAGATGTCCACAGACTGGAAAAATGTGTATTTTTGAGCGATACAGTAAAGCACAGCGGAAGATGCTCTAAAGAAAGACTGCTACAAGAGAAGTCATCCTTTCCTTTTCATCCACTGCACAGCTTATCACTAGGGTTGATATTTCTGATGGGACATAGTGATCCTCAAAAAAAAAAAAAAAAAAAAAGTGGACAACTGATAAGGAACTTCTTCAATCAACCTTGACCCACCTTGAAATTCTCAAAGAAGCCCCCACTGCCGTTCTCTGTCTTGTCATCTTCTTCTATGGGCAATCCCATCATACAGCGGCTGCGAAGCTGCAGCTCCTCAAAAAGGCTCTCTAAGAGGGCACTTCGGGTTCTCTCCTACATCAACATTGGGAATGAAAATACAGCTATTATGAGGAGAGCGTAGAAGGGTGCTGTTAATGCAGTATCTCTTGTCTTCATTTAAAAAATAAAAAATATCATGGAAATTAATTTAAACAACACGAACTGTTTTTAGCTGTGTAGATATGGAATTTAGAGTTGTAGATAGCCCCTTTAAACTCCTTTTAAATCAAGTCATAACGGACATCAGGTTTTACAAGTGATGAAAATGAGGCATGGGTTGAAGGCAGTTTTTTCTTACATCAGGCAAGCAGCAGAGCCTGGAACAGAATTTTGGGACTTTGAACAAAACTCTTAACAGTATGTACCCTGAAATGAAATACTGAGTCACAACTAACACAGAATTTCCTCCAGCAGTATCTATGCATCATATTCAAACTCTTACTTGAGGATTACACAATGACATTAGAATGTATCTCTTCATACCCTACCATGCCAGCTGTGAAATACAAAGGAAGGATTCACATGGCTAAGAATAATCACATTTAAACATCAGAAAATTAGAAGTACAGATGGTAAAAATTTATCTTGTATTTTCTTAATCTGGCAGCAATATAGTATTATATTTTTTAACGGAAACAAACAGGTAATCGTCCCACCTTTAATTTAGCAAATTTTTCAGCTCGATAGCAGCTGTATTCAGCATTGATGAGCTTGACCAGAAGGAATTCACGAAACTCTGTACTCTACAAGACAAGATGAAAACCCGACTGGAGATGAAGACAGCAATAGAAACATTAGGTGATAAAAGCTCTACCTTACTACTCTTTAGACCTCCAAAGCCATCTAGCCAGACTGACAATACAACAGTGACTGTGAATAAAAGGGTGTGTAGTATAACCATCTAACACTGCATCAGAGAAACAAACCTTTCTAAATATGGCTGGATTTGGTAAAGAAGGTCCAAAGAAGGGCACATCGTCTCGTGCTGTGACTGAAACCTGAAATAATACAAGGGAATGAAATCAGTATCATAAATACAACTGAGACGATTAGAGATTTCAAACTTCTGTGTTTGCATGCATGTATGTTGCAATATATATATCAGAGATACTGTTGCATCTCCAATTCCTTCTGAATCATTTACATTTTCCAAAGGTACCTGTCAGTTCCGGACCTCAGTGAATGGATCATAGAATTATAGAATTACTCAAGTTGGAAGGGACCCTTAAGATCATCTAGTTCCAACCCCCCCTGCTATAGGCAGGGATACCTCCTTCTAGACTAGGTTGCTCAGAGCACCAGCCAGCCTGGCCTTGTATGCCTCCAAGGAGGAGGCACCCACAACCGCACTGAGCAACATGTTCCAGTGTCTCACCACCCTCACAGTAAAGAATGTCATCCTAATAGCTAGTTTAAATCTACCCTCTTCCAATTTAAAGCCACTTCCTCTCATCTTGTCACTACCTACCCTTATAAAGTGTCCCTCTCCAGTTTTCCTTGCAAGCCCCCTTCAGGTACTGGAAGGCTGCTACTGGGTCTCCCCTAAGCCTTCCCTTCTCCAGGCTGAAGAGCCCCAACTCTCTCAGCTTGTCCTCGTAGTAGAGGTGCTTCAGCTCTCCATCCCTTATCTTCGTGGCCCTCCTCTGGACCCTCTCCAAAAGCTCAATGTTCTTCCTATGTTGGGGGCAACAGGGCAAGGTGGGGTCTCAGAGGAGCTGAGTAGAGAGAGATAATCACCTTGCTCAATCGGATGGTCATATTTCTCTTGATGCAACCCAGTATATGGTTGGCCTTCAGGGCTGCAAGTGTACATCACCAGCTAATGTTGAGTCTTTTATCAGCCTACATCCCCAGATGCTTCTCCTCAGGGCTTCTCTCAAGCCATTCTCTGCCCAGCCTGTATTTGTGCTTGGGATTGCTCCAACTCAGATGCAGTATCTTGCACTTGGCCTTGTTGAACTTCACGAGATTGGCATGGGCCCACCTCTCCAGCCTGTCCAGGCCCCTCTGGATAGCATCCCTTCCCTCTAGTGTGTCAACTGCACCAATCAGCTTAGTGTTATCTGCACTGTGGGAACTACACTCAAGCCCACAGTCCATGTTGCCTTCAAAGATGTTAAACAGCACCCGTCCCAGCATTGATCCCTGAAAAAAAAACCACTCATCACCAGTCTCCATTTAGACACCAAGCCATTAATAGCAGGTGCAACCATCCAGCCAGCTCCTTATCTAGCAAGTCGCCCATCCATCAAATCATTTCTTCCCAAATTTGGCAACCAGAATGTCATGTGGCTCTTCCTTTTTTCACTGACACTGTAACTCCATTATAAAAGGCCTCCAAGTATGTCAGGCACAATTTGCCCTTGGTAAAGCCATGTTGGCTGCCACCAATCAATTCATCTTTATTTTCCATCTGCCTTAGTAGAGGCTTCAGGAGGATCTGCTCCATGATCCTGCCAGCACAGAGATGAGAATGACTGCCCTTTAGTTCCCCGGATCTTCTTTTTTTCCCTTCTTGAAAATGTTTCTCCTTTTCCCCTTTTCCCTTCTCCAATCAGTGGGAAATTCACCAGACTGCTATGACCTTTCAAATATGATGAACAGCTTGGCAATTTTATCCTCCAATGCTGTTTTACCTCCCAGAAACTCAATCATAAAGTAAAAGCAAAAAACCTTGCCAAACCTTACATTTCAAACTGTTCTTAATAATAAATATATATTAACAATAACCGATGTATTTAGAGCAGAAAAAAGATGCTTCTATTTAGCCTGCGAGATTTACCTTCACCAGACAAAACAAATGTTAATCCTAACATATTATCATTTTTTTAACCAGACTTCTCAGTAGAGATACACTGTACACTAAGGGGAATATAAGGGAATATCCCAGAATATGGGGATACTTCTCTTAGACACATAATAAGCACACAAAAGTAATTTCCCAGCAAGAGATAAGTGCTTTTTTTTTAAGCATGCTCCTACCTCACACACCAATGCCAAAAATAGTAATGTAAGTCCATTTTTCAAATACTGCCACTTTGCTCTTCACAATACTTACCAAGTATATATAGCTATCTTACCAGATATTTCAGTTACTTTTTTCTTCATTTTGAGATGGAACAAGGAACAATATTATTCTTTTCCATTTCATAAGACAGGGAACAACAGCAGTGCATCTTAACAGCAACTGCCTCAAAATAACACACCATTGTAAATGTCACAGTGCACATCACAAAGTTGTGTGAATTTATTGAGACTAAGGAAAGAGGCCCTAAATTTAGCTCAGATTTCTCACACTATAGGCCAGCTGTCCTAGTTACAAGGCCTCCCTCTCCCTTCCAACAGACTAAAATCCTGCTTTGCATTCTTAATTTTCTGTTTGTAAAAACTGATTCAAACAAATATCATCAAAATTCAAATTTAAGCATTAGACAGTAGAGCCTCTCAAGAAAGAATTATTTAAAATTCCTTTGGAAAAGCCCTTATATAAAATTGCACTGGCCCCAGAGTCATGGCTGGGGTGATTTAGTTTTTTTTAAATGAAGTAATATAGGCAACCTTACTACTCTGACAAAAATAATGCCATTGCATGTAGGCAAAAACAATACTGGGAAGAGAAAGACGAACGACAAGCTTCCCCAGCTTTTTTCATTAAAAAAATCCAATGAATTTATGTGCCCTGTAAGATGGACAGCAAGAGAATTAGAACCTTGAGCCTCTGATCATCAGGCAGCTATTTTGTCATGACAGACTTAGATGTCCAAAACAAAAAAATTTGGTTGTTATTTCACCACTACCATTCTTTTTGTGGAAAATGAGATGGAAATCCTGTTACAATTTTGACATTCTCGCTGCTTTTGTAGACCTAAAAGGTTTAAGAAATCATTATCACCAAATTAGAATTTTTATGTAAAATGAGACACAGCACTTTGATTAAAATGTTTCTATAAAGGCAAATCCATCACAGAATGCAAAATAATATGTACTCTGAACTCTCATCATGATTGAAAGTTGAATTTAAAGTCACAAAGATATCCATGCAATAGATAGAGATAGACATGCAATAAATTGTTCTGGCAAGAGGCTGTGGATACAGAATTTTTTTCTAGTAGGGCTCCTGTCAAATGCAAGACCTTAAGATATAGCACTTCACTTTCAGATGGGCATTGGTTCCAGGATCCACAAAAGCAGATGCAGCTGGTTAGAAGTCCACAGAATAGGCCAGCCGGCTCTACGTGACATACAGTTTCAGGACAAGCAAGCTCTGTGCTATATGACCTGTTACTAAGCATCACACAAAGTTAGGTGAATGAGCTTTTTTTGATAATGCAAGAAAATCTCTTTCTTTCAAGGCAAGAAAGAAATCACCCAAAATGTGATCACTTGCTCCTTGTGCTCTTTGATATTTTATCTGAAATTTTATCTGAATATAAAACTTATCTGGATTTGTCTTGCATTAAATCCCAAGTGTTAAGCTTTATAAATATGCCAGCTACACTGGAAAACATGCAAGTACATAGTTTCATGTATACATACTTAAAAATCAATCAAATCTTTTTTTTTTTTTTTTACATTCTATTCACTGGGTAGAAATAATAAGTATTCCTGGACTCTGTTCAGTAAAATATTTGTGTTCCAGAATCTTGATTCTCAGTCTTAGCTCTTAGCCTTCTCCAGCTTATCGATATTTTTATTAAATCTGAATACTCAATAAACAGGAGCACAGATTACTAATAGTAGAAATCATATTAAAAAGAGAGGACCTCCACAAATCTACAGAACAGAGAACAGTATAGCAGGAAGGAGACTTCTAGTCAGAGATCAAAGTGTAGGTAAAGGGGAAAGAAAGCTTTTCACTGAGAATGTAGTTACCATTTACTGACAAAGCAAGCAAAGCTGTTTGGAGGACAGCTGACCAAACCTGTACCTCTCCCAAAAGCCCAAGAACAGGTTTTTGCTTCAAGGGTCTAAGTCAGTACATCACCACAGAAGAATCTGCTGGCTCCATTTACCTTGTAGAGGGTCTCCCCACAACTGCTGTGAGTGAGCTGAACTACCACGTATGCATGTAGGAAATTAGAAGCAATCATATCAGGCACAAAAGGTGTGCTTTCATCCTGGAAGATGATGGCTACAATGTCATTCCCAATGTGACGCTTCCGCTGAAGCTGGAGAGTAAAAAGTAAAAAAACATGAAGGTGAAAAAGAGTAGAATAGTACAACAGGGCCTAAAACACCAGTCCATCTTCTCTAGTAGAAACCCCATCACCACTTTTACCATTTCTCCTGTCATACTTCCCAATATCATGCAGTTAGGTGTTCTCCTTAATTAGCTCCTCAATAAATACCCCTCCCCCCTTACCCACACTCTTGAATTCCTTAGTTCTCTTCACAAATACCTGTTGGGAATCTCCTTCTGCGAAGGGCAGTTTTGTAGATACATGAAACATGATCTCTTTGCCCCGGAAATTTGTATAAACTGATTCGGTGCCTGTTTGACCTCTAATGACATCCAAACCTCCCCGGAACCTGAATAAATCCACACCACATAGTAGGTTGGGCAGGACACAGATAAAAAAGTGGAGAGAATAAAGAAGATATCAGTAACACTAGCTTATGCATCAATAATATCAAAGGTAACTTTAAAGAAATCATCAAAGTGTAGTACTTCATCTTCCAAAAACAAACACAGTAATCAAAGCTGCAAAATGTTTCTACCAATGAGCAACCTTTCTTGCTAAAAGCTGTGAAGCTAAACCAGGGATCCTCAAAGGATCTACATTGTTTAGCATTCTTCTGAGAAACACAATCCATATTTTAGAACTAGAGAAAGTAGCTCTGGCAGAGCCACAGAATCACAGAATGGCCTGGGTTAGAAGGAATCTCAAGGATCATGAATTTCCAATCCCCCCTGCCACAGGCAGGGCCATCAACCTCCCCATTTAATACTAGATTAGGCTGCCCAGGGCCCCATCCAACCTGGCCTTGAACACCTCCAGGGATAGGGCATACACAACCTCTCTGAGCAGCCTGTTCCGGCATCTCATAGTAAAGAACTTCCCCAACCTCCCTCCTTCAACTTAAAACCATTCCCCTTGTCCTGCTGTTATCTACCCTTTCCAAGAGTTGACTACCCTCCTGTTTACAGGCACCCCTGATGCACTGAAAGACTGCAATTAGGTCACCCCGCAACCTTCTTTTCTCCCTGTGATTGCAAAACAAGCTTGCATTTATACAGTCAAAATAAATATTTTCTTTGATGATCGTGGGTGACGTGTTGAAATACTCCAAGATCCCTAAATGAAAATTTTTAGCTGAGGCCTAAACTCCAACAAATTACCAGGCAGGATAGTTGACAAAAGCATGTTGGGCTTCTCCACCCTCCATCCCAGCACTCCATACTTAGGACTCTTCCCACCGCGTCTCACTAATACCAATAATAACATTACTCAGGGAATGGATCAAAGCTCCCATTTCCTCAAACTGCATGCATTAGGATACAAGCATTTCCAATGAGCTCCTGAACCTGAAGTGCCCTTTGGAGTGGCAGATGCTGCTATCAGCCTTGCCAGTCTCTGATGATGACTTACCATTCCTTTAGCTTGACCCCAGTTTTCCTGATGGAATCTCCCTCTCCCATCAATCCTTGTTTAAAGCCTTCAGTCTGGCCAAGTTGCAGGTTAAGAGATATTTCTCCCATCAGAGATCAAATCACTGAACCTTCTGTGTTCCCTAACCCATCCTGACTTTTAAAACATGCTTGTTACACACCCACGGAAATCCTGCAGCTGAATCTTGTCACCAAGGAAATCTAAGAACTCCAGGAAACCCAGACTCTCTTCTGTGTTACTGAAGACTTCTTCTTCAGTTGTCTTCAAAAGGAAAAGAGAAAAGCAAAAACAGTACAAAGATTAGGCAAAAAAACATTTCAATCAGCTTTGAGGACCTGCACAAAGGAAACAAATCAGTCATTATAAGGCAAGATTGTGTCCTTTCTGTTTAAGAAGTCTCTATTTTCCAGTATACCATACTATCCACACTGCAGACCTTGTTATTACATTTAAGCGAAGAGAACTGACTCTTTCTGTTTTGTCTTAAGGATGGTAGGATCTGAATGACCTTACCTGTCCAGGTTTCTGGTAGATTACCCCAAATTTGAAGTTATTGCTTATAACATGTTCATCAAATGCTACAATAAGCTGTGAAGCCTGTGAAAATGAAAATATAAATTATAAATTGCACTTAATTAGCCAGCTCTTGATTAAAAGGTACATAGAATCAGAAATTTATACCTTGGGATAGAGGACAGGAAAGAAGCGTTCAACATTCACATCTTCACACAGTAGCTGTTGAGAGACAGAGAGGGAAACAAAAGTGTGATTATCATGTGCTCTAGCTTGCTGCAAGCATGACAACATGAACACTCATAGTTATCTGACAAGAGTCCTTTCAAGAGAAAAATCCAAGGTAACATTAGAAAAGGGAGAAGAGGAGCTAAATGAAAGAGTGAAAGGGGAAGTGTATGAAAGTACTGGTGTGAAAAAGTAGAAAAGAGATAAGTGGGAGGACAGTAATGTGAAAGCAACTAGAAGGATGAGAATTAAAAAGAGACAGACTCATGGTGTAAGAGTGAGAAGGCAAGCAAGAATCTCACCTTTGCCATCTGGACAGCATTGGGAAACTCATTCAGACAGGAAATAGGGATCAGATCATGTTTGGTACCAGTTCGTGTCCTGAAATAAAATAAAAACCACATTAAAGTGAATGTTGAAAGAGGCACATGCAACACTAGCTCTTTAAACAAACAGTAGCCATTACTTCTGATTCTTCTTAAAACAGTTAATTGCAGAGGAATCATTTTAAGCTTAATGCATAAAATTGCTGAAAAAAGAGGGGTACTTACTACTCATCACTTGTGAGAAGCAGGGAAAGACAAACAGGCAGGCATAAGAAAGACATGGGCCTGTCAGAGCAAGTCCAGAGGTGAGCCATGAAAATGATCAGAAGGCTGGAGCACCTGTCCTATGAAGACAGGATGAGAGGCTTGGAGTTGTTCAGCTTAGAGAAACAAAGGCTCCAGAAAAATCACATTGTGACCTTCCAGTACTTAAAGGGGGCATATATGAAGAACATTTAAAGACTCTTCTCCAAGACCTGTAGTGTTACAAGAAGTAACGGCTTCAGACTGAAAGAATCAAGATTTAGATCATACATATGGAGGAAATTCTTGTGACACTGGCATGGACTTGCCAGAGAAATTGTGGATGTCTGATCTCTGGAGGTGTTCAAGGCCAGATTGGATGGGGTCCTGAGCAATCTGATCTTGTGAGAGGTGTCCTTGTCAACAGCAGGGGGTTGGAATTAGATGCTATTTAACATACAAAAGCTTCCTTTTTCCATATATATATTAAAAAAGAGGTGTCTTTCTAGAGAAGAAGTAAGATTTGGCTGTCAGAGACCTCTTCCACCAATACAGGCAAGTTATTGGGCAAAGGTGCTGCATATAGTAGGATATCTTAATAGAGAAGTAAATATCCTTCACCAGTTTTTTCAGTGTAGGAAGGTTTCTAGGCTCAGATAAACATTCCCTGGTTCAGCTCGTAAGAATGCTCTCAATTTTTCCCCTAGAAGATTCTTGCCTTGCCTAGTACTCCAAAGTGTTCTCCACACATAATGGTGACAGTGGCAGTCTTGTAGCTGATTCCTACCCACGTTTTCCCTCGGTACTGAATGAGAGATGTCAAGCAGCAATGGTATGTCAGTTTAAGTAGCATATTGCCTACCAGAAGTAGCCTCAGTCAACAGAGTAGGAAATAGCTTTTCTGCTGCATACTTCTCACCTACACAAGATCCATCTCTATTCTTCCTCTAGTTTATTCAGCAGTTCTCTGGACTTAAAGGGGGCACACTGGCACATCAGAGGCTGTCCTGGGAAGTTAAGGGATGTCCTAGCTCACCTTCAAGTGGGATTTAGTCTCAAGTACAAAGCCCAAAGATAGGCCTGAGCTAGTCTGCCTTCAACTAGGAAAGGCACATTCCCCCCCCTCGATAGTGCTCACATCTCTGAGTAAACAGAATTAACAGAAGTTTCTTTTTGAAGGAGGAACAAATATTTTTCTCAGAAGAATTGTAAGGATGTGCCCGCAAATGCTTCAGCTTTCTGAAGAAAATTGCTAGGAGAAAGTCAGAGGAAGGCAAGAAATGAAGGCTCAAAGGTCTCTTTACAAGCTTCTCTAAAAGACATGAGATTCACACCCATATCTATGCAGAGAAAGTTCAACATAAGATGAGAGACACATCACAGTAACACATACTACTACAGAAGACACTGTTACCTCAGCAACAAGCGTAGATTTTCCTGTTTCTCAGACTGTTCATACTTCACAGAAAGTATCAAGTAGCCCAAGGACACATCACTGGAATAAAAGTTCTGGTGCTCCTGAAAACAGGAATTCAAAACGCATTATTCCCAACATGCTTCCCAGAAAGTATACCAAAGTTTTTACGACCTGTAAACTCAGGACTGGCTTGTTTTTTCTTTAAGTGGCATGCTCGAAGACATGCTAATGCTCGCCTTGCAGCCTCCTTGGTAATCAGTGCATGAGTATAAAAGTTCATCCACTACCAGAACAATACTTCTGAGAAGTAGAATGAGAACATTCAACAACAGATTTTGAAGGACTCCAGTTTCTTGTAAATAAGTTCCTATATTTAATAGATTTTTCCCCATACCCACTCACACTCTGCATAACAGTAAGCATACCTGGATGTAGTTATGGAAATTTTCCATACAAGCAGTAATGGCAGGATCAACACACCAAATACAACATACCCTATCGTTGTTCTCTACGAGCATGTACAGCTCAGTGAGGATGCAGCCAGAATTCCACGAAACTACTTTGCAGGTAGAGGATGTTCTAAAACTAACTAACACTAGCATTGCTTCAACTTCAGTGGAGTATACCTCAAACAGAATGTAATTCAGTTTCTTCCGTCTAGCATTGGACAGTAATGCAAACATTTTTACAAGGTCTATATAGAAGTGACTGCAGCCATATATTTCTTCCAGGTATATGGCCATAGGCCTGGTTGTATCAAAAGAGGTTAAAATCTACAGACAAGTGAAATGAATGGAAATCTCTAGTAGAAATAGAATTCTGTATAGGTGGAATCATCCAGAAATACTTAGATCTTTCTCATCTTCCTAGCAGAGGTTAATCATCAGGAAAACCATTCAGTAGACAGTTCTGGAGTTGGCTACTACATATGGATTGGTCCCTGGGCAACCTGATTAAGCTCTGCATGTCCCTGTTCATTGCAGAGGAGTTGGACTAAATGGTCTTTAAAGATCCCTTCCAACTCTAAGGATTCTATGGTTCTATGACTCTGAAAAATTCTGATCAAGTAAAGAGACTGAATTAACATTTCAACAAATGGTCATAAGTTATTGTGTCTGAGGTGCAAGTAGGACAGAGAGATCAATGAGAATGTTATGCAGGAGATCCAATTATCTTTGCATTTAATCAGAACAGTATCATAATCTTTCCCTGCTAATGAGAACTTCTGTTGAAAGTGGTAGTAGTACTACATTCCAAAATTAAGTCTCCAACCCAGAAGGATATGGTGAGATTAAAGTGGTATTTCTAGGCTAGAAGGTAAGGTGAGAGTCCTCCTCAAAGTAATAATAAATAAAACATAATAAAACTAAATAAAGAAATCCCAAACAAAAATCATCTCAGCTACACTACAATGGGCAGAATTATCAGTGCTTCATTATGCCTTGGGCCATGGAAATCAGGAGAAATCTCAAATTAAGTAAAGGAGTCACTGGCAACCTGAGAAGACAGCTAGGTATTGTGCAGCCAGTAATCAGGATTGAAAGATTCAGGGGTTGCATCACAGGAAGTACTGTGTAAATACAAACTTGCACACAACACAGAAATTTTATGCACTGAGACAGTCAGTTAAGTGTCAGTTGTACAGTCAGAACTTCCATGACCAGGAAGGTGTTCTATGAAAGGACTACTCTGGACACAACTAATTAATAAGAACTCAATGGGAGCAAATTTGATCAAAATGAGTTGCTGTACACCTGGCTAGTCTGATAGCTCCTTCTTTAGCCTTCTGCCTAGAAAATACAGAAAGTCTGTTCTGTATCTGTTGGATTGCAACCTCTCCAAATACAGCTGTGAGATCTTCTTTTGCTGTGGAAAAAATCAAAACAAATTTTTATATTAGTAATAGTACTGACTAGCTGTGAAATAAACGATAGTGATATATTAGTTATATACTCTGATATCTACATGAATGTATGCATCTGGTAGTAAACAGGCATCAATCGGTTCCATCTTTGAAAAAAAAGGACTAATTAAGACTACAGTTACTCCCCTGATCCTGGATGTGAAAATGAAACTACTGAACTTTTTGAAAGTATCAGAGATATCATTGCCCTCACTTCCTCCTTGACACACACACACACAAAACAAAGATTCAAGGAACAAAACAAGAGCATGTTCAAATGATTAAGATGAAGACTAACATCAGGGAAGTCCATAAATCAAAGAAATCAGATGCTAGAGTGTATGCCCAAGAGAAGCCGTAAGGAAAAGATGGCACAATACTGACAAAATTCAGGACCAGAAGACATAAAAAAAAGAATATAAACAGAAGTCTGAAGTTAGCTGCAGCCAGAAATCAGAATGAGCTGCAAAGACTAGAAAACCAAATTTTTTTTTATGAGAATTCAGGGCCAGACCTCAGCAGGCCTGACATATTAGGATCTTAGTTGCTATGGGAACCAGGCTATTAGCTATTCAGCTGACCATAACCAGACAGAGCTGCACAATGGGGTGCAATCTTTTCCACAGTAACAAGCACTAGCATTAATGAAGGTCTCAAAATAATTGAATTGTTACCAAAGCCATTGTGGATGCCTACCCTGATTTTGAGTGTATGCCTAAGTCAAAAGTATGAACAAAAACTCTAGCTTCCTCCTTGTGACTTTTATCCTTCTGCAATTTTTTTTCTCTGTAAAAACACTTAGGCAGCAGACAGCAAAATCAAAGTCCTTCAACACACAACAACATTTATTTTTAGCTGTCACAAAGTTAGAGATGAACTATCAAAATGCTTTATGCATAATATTGAAGGTTGCAACTCAATGGTGACAAAATAACCCAAAGCTGAGATGACCTATGTATATTTGTATAGGTAGGTACAAATCTGATCAGTCACTGAAGTAGTTTCTATAACATTTAAGTCTGGACTCTGCAAAACAGTTAATGTCTTCCATAAGGCCAAGGGAAAATAGAAGACACAAAGAATGTTGACAGTTTGCCTGAGAAGTTATTCAGTTATTAAGATATCAGCCATGTTCTTAGCCATTTGGGATTCTTTCTGATGAAACAGAATTATTTTGTCATTAACAAGAATTGTACCACAGGTGAACAAACAAGAGGAAAGGAAAAGAAGACTTCCCCAAGACATGGTCTGCTTCATCAGTTCTTCTAACTGTAGGAGTATATGAATCCAGAGAATACTAAAAAACCATTACAGGATTCAAAATGGGTCCATTAATTTTTCCCTAAGAGAAATGAGAATTTTAAAAAGCTTACTTCAAAAAACTTTGCAACTTCTGGTCATCTGGTAAAATACTGGGATGATTTCATCCCTGAAGAAGGAGGAAAAGCAGCTTTGGTGGCACAATGATTATGTGATGTGACAAAAAGACAAAACTATCTCAACCTCCAAACATGTCAACAACAAAAGATAACTAATAAACTTATACCACAGGGTAAACAAGATCATTATTCCTGTGAGCTCTCTGGCTGGAAGAGTGCAAGGTGTTTGCCAGTCAAATGATAACAAGAACCTAGAAGATATTGCTACTGTCAACTGCAGAATATAGAATCACTACAGCTGGACAGATACAAAAATAATACCTTATCAGGTTGTCTCTGTTTAGGCCTTCCCTCCATCTCTACTTGGAGAAATCTGGAAAGAAAAAGATATCTATATCTCGGGTTGATGTCATCTTTTCATGTTAAGAAAACAGTAGAAGGCTGCTAAATACATGCATTTGCATGCCAGAAGGAAATGGTCCTGAATAGAAGGCTTGCAGTCTTAAGAAGTCAGAGAAAGTGCTTACTAAAAAGATAGACTTGCAGTAATGAAACAATATTACAGAAGCCTTAAAATAACAAAAGATTGTTACAGTTACACCTAGTTATAAAAATGTCCTTTGACTGCTTAAGTGTATCAAACAGTTTCCACATCTTTCCTCTCTGCTCAGCTAAAATTTCACTAACTTCTTTTCACTAGTTGGGAAGCTAATTTTGAGTAAGTTCCTCAACATAGGAACTATGTTGAACATAGTACAGCAGTAACAATACTTTAAATCAGTACAAAGTACAGTATAATAGAGAAATATCTGACCAGATATGAACACAAGGCAAGAATGATTTTTCACCAGTACTGCCAGTTTGAAGTGCTTGTGAAACTGCACTCTAAGATCCTGATGGGCATTTTCAACATACGCCCTTATTAAACCCTTCCTGGCTTCCAGATAATTCTCTTCATGATAATCTTTAAAAACAAGGTAGACATTTAGTAATTCCCACAGTACTGTGCACGAGGTTTTATACCTTTCCTCCTATCTGTAAAATGAACCTTACCGAACTTCTCATCATATAAAGAGCAGACCAAGAAGCACAGAATTAGAGCTCAGTAATGGCTGAAATGTCTTAGCACTTTTTTGTGTGGTTGTTTCACAGCATCGGTAGTATGTTGGGTTTTTGTTTGTTTGTTTGCTTTGTGTTTTTCTTTAATTAAAAATTTTAATTAAAAAAAAAAAAGTCTGTTTCAGTGACTTACCGTATGTGTACCCATAACATAAACGTGCATACAGACTGTTGTTTTATGCTTGTCATAGGGTTTTCTCACTGAGATGTACTGAGGATCCCAATTGCTGTCCAGATAATCTCTTGAGATAGCTCTGCTGTCTACTGGGGGTCTGAACGTGGGACATCAGTAAGAGGCTACCAGTTCTGATAAAGCCAGAATACTATGATGCAATTACAAAACTCTGACCTGATTGCTACCACAGAAACAAGATGGGGTGAATTACACAACTGGAATAGTATGATTGAGGCCTACAAGCTTTTTGGAAGAGATAGAAAGGGCAGGAGGGGCAAAGGAGTTGCCCTGTATGTTAAGAAGTGGATAGACCATGAAGAGCTGTCTCTGAGAAACAGCCACATTCAGGTTGAGAACACATAGGTTAAAATTAGGGACTAGACCAATAAAGGACATCTGGTGCTCAGGGTGTACTACATGCTGCCTGATCAAGAGGAGCCTGTTGATGGGGCTTTCTTGCACCATTTACAAGGGATTTTGTGCTCACAGCCTCTCAGCCTGATGGGGGATTTCAGTCATCCAGCTGTCTGCTGGAAAAGCAACACGGCAGGCTGCAAACAATCCAGGAGGCTCTTGGAGTCTGCTGAGGATAGCTTCATAGTCTGTCCAATACCTGGACAGACCAACAAGAGGTGAAGCATTATTGGACCTGGTTCTCACCAATACAGAGGAGATCATTAAAGAGGTTTTGATAGGAGACAATCTGGACTACAGCAACCATGCTGTGGTTGAGTTAGTGATCTCAAGGAATATGGGCCTGGTCAGGAGCAGGGTCAGAATCTTGAGCTTCAGAAGATAAAAATTACGTCTGTTTAAGGAATTATTGGATGAGATCCTCTGGAAAACTGTCCTTAGGGACATAAGAACAGAACAAGGGTGGTACTTCTCTAAGGACAGCTTGAAGAGCACTAAGAACACCAAGAACAAGAGCTCTCCATCTCACAGCATAAGAAATATAGCAGAAGATATGGGAAACTGACATGGCTGAGTAAGAACCTGCTGGTCAAATTAAGGGAAAAGATGGAAATGTACAGGCAGTAGAAACGGGGATGAATGGCCTGGGAAAAATATAGGGATTCTATCCAGACATGCAGAGATGGAATCACGAAAGCCAAGGTGCAGATCAACTGAACTTATCGAGAGATGTGAAAAATAACAGGAGATTCTACATATATATAGGTCAAAGAGAAAGGCAAAGAAGAGTGTACTTCCTCTATTAAATGAGAAGGTAGAACTGCCTGCAACAGACATGGAGAAGGCTGAGGTACTCAACAAGTTCTTTGCCTCAGTCTTCACTGCTAGTTTGACTTCCCATGTCTCTTGAGTTCCTCAGTCTTCAGGCAGAAGGTGAAGGACTAAAATCCCTATCGCTATAAGCATACAGCAAGCTCAAGACCACTGTGAGACTGATTGATGTGTACAATTCTATGAGGCCTGACAACATACATCCCAGGGTTGTAAAGAAACTGACCGATGTAGTTGCCGAGCCATTCTCCGTCATATTTGAAAAGTCATGGCTGTTGGTAAAGTCCTGGTGGCAGAAGAAAGAGAAATATCACTCTCATTCTAAAGAAAGGGAGAAAGAAAGACCTGGGGAACTATAGGCCTGTCAGTCTCACATCTGCACCTGTGAAGATCACGGAATAGATCCTCCTGGAAGCTACATTAAGGCACATGCATTCAGGACAGCATAAGGGCATGTTATCATGCATGATCAGCCTGGTGGCCTTCTATGATGGAGTGACAGTATTGATGGACAAAGGAAGGGCAAATGATATAATCTACTTGGACTTCTGCCTTTGATATGGTTCTACACCATATCCTTATCTATAAATTGGAAAGAGATGAATTTGAAAGGTGGACTATTTGATGGATAAAGAATTGGTTGAAGGTCACAGCCAGATGGTTGTGATCATTAAACCTATGTCCAAGTGGAGACCAGTGACAAGTTATGTCCCCCAGAGGTCCATCTAGGGACAGGTGCTCTTCAACTTCTTTATCACCTGGATAGTGATATTGAGTATACCCTCAGCGAGTCTGCTGATGACACCTAGCTGAGTGGTACAGTGGATACAATAGAAGGAGGTGACACCATCCAGAGGGACCTGGAAAGTGGGCCTATGAGAACCTATTGAGACTGAACAAGGCCAAGTGTAAGGTGTTGGGTTTGACTTGGGTAAGGGCAATCTCAGACCGGGAAAAGAACTCACTGGGAGCAGACCTGTGAAGAAGGGCTTGGGTGTCCTTGTGGACAAAAAGTTGTACATGAGCCAGCAGTGTGCACTCAGAGCCCAGAAGGTCAACTGTATCCCAGCAGGGTGAGGAGGTGATTATCCCCCTCTGCTCTACTGCATTCAGGAGCTGTTGGAGCAGGTCCAGAGGAAGGCCACAAAGATGATCTGAGGACTGCAGCACCTGTCCTATCAGGAAAGGTTGAGAAAACTGTGCTTGGTCATCCTGAGAAAAAGAAGGCCCCAGGAAGATCTCACATTCCAGTACCTGATGGGAGCATATACACAGGCCAGAGACCAACTTTTTACATGGTCTGATAATGACAGAACAAAGGGGAATGGCTTTAAACTAAAAGAGGGATATTTAAATTAATGATTCAGATGAAATTTTTTACTCAGAGAGTGGTGAGACGCTGGAGCAGGTTGCTCAGAGAACTTGTGGACTGCCCATCTCTGGAGGTGTTCAAGACAGGTTGGATGGCGCATCTTGATCTGGTGGGCAGCAACCCCACCCATAACAGGGGAGTTAGATGATATTTAGGGTTCCTTCCCAAGCCATTCTATGACTCTACTGTATATACTCCAATCTCCAGTGTTGCCTAAATATTCCCTAAACCACTGTCTTTGCCTTTCCCATCATGCTTATAAACTCCTGAGCTAAGAATTGCTCAAGGTTATTCAAGCTTGCAAGAGACATTTGTTTACCTTTCAGAAATAACCTTTCCACGTCATCAGTAAGAAAAGCAAGCAACTTTGAACTGACAAAATACATCCCTTGTGGAAAAACTCTCAGTTTCTCCTTACCAAAGCCTTTTAAATCATGGGAACTGTCATGTTTTTATGCATAACTTAAATAAACCCAGCATGCCTATGATATGGGTGAAGTTTTCTACCCATGGATAGAGTATTCTGTGACAAGAGTCTTTTTCACCTTCTTCTCTGATACATACTTGCTCACCAGCTTACAAGCCTAATGGGATATAGACGCATACTCATGTCAATTAAATCAAAGAACAAAACCTGGGCACTTCAGAAGAATGGAGAGAGGAGTCTTTATTTAGTACTTAATCACTGATGGTCGGGCACTTTGCAAACATACGGAGTTTGACGGAAAGGGAACTCCTTCATATTCACTTCACAGTATAGCTGAGGTTGGCAAGGACTTCTGAGTCTACCTGGTCCAACTCCTACTCAAGCTGATTCACCCAGAGCAGGTTCTTCAGGACCATGTTCAAGTGGCTTTTGAAATTCTCCGAAGAGAAGATTCCACAACATCTCTGAACAACTTGGGTCAGTGCTCTGTCACCCACATATAAAAAAAAGTGCTTCCAGATGTTTAGACAGAATTTCTTGTGTTGCAGTTAGAGCCCACTGCCTCTTGTCCTGGCATTGGGCACCACTGAAAAAAAAACAGGCGCTGTCTTCTTTGCACCCTCCCTTTATGGTCCATTATACTATAAAGATAAGATTGATTGTTAAGATACCCCCAAGCCTTCTCCAGGCTGAACAGTCTTAGCTTTCTGAGATTTTCCTCACAGGAGTGAGACTCCAGTTCCTTAACCATTTTTATGGCCTGACATAGGACTCCTTCCAGTATGTCCATTCCTCTCTTATACTGGGAGACCCAGCACTAGACAACAGTACTTCATACATGGCCTCAACAGTGACGACTGGAGAGGAAGGGAATCTTCTCGTCACCCGCTGGCAACACTTTTTTTAATGTAGCTCTGGATACTGTTAACCTTCTTAACAGCAAGCATTTACACTTGATGACCACCAGGACCCACTGGTCCTTTTCTGCAGAGCTGCTTTCTATCTAGGTAACTTATAGTATGTCCTGATGCCAGGGGTTGTACCTTTCCAGGTGCAGGACTCCGCATATCTCTTCGCTGGCCTTCATGAGATTCTTGTCAGCTCACCTCTCCTGTTGAGGTCCCTCTGGATGGCAACGTACCCCACTGGTGAATTCATCACTCCCTCATTTTGTGTCATCTGCATACTTGCTGAGGATACACTCTGCCCCATTCCTACTTAGAAGAAACAATGATGATACTGTGCTACTTGAGCAGAGGGATGGACCAGATGACCTCCAGAGGCCCCTTTCAACCTCAGCTTTCTATGATTCTATGATATCAGGTCAGCAGTGAATTCTACAATTGTACTGAAAACCACTTTATCTTTCATTACAGCTGAAATCAGAAACCTTCAAGGAGAACCTTAAATTTATCATGACAGAAAAATAATTACAGTTGGCAAACTGAAGGATTCCAGAATGTCATGGGACATGTCCATTATGTTGTACAGCAGATCTGGACAGAAAGTCTCCAAAAAGGGTGCTTTACTAATAAATAATATTAACAACAGCTTCTAGTTGCATACTACACAAGATCATTCAGGCAAGTCAGACTACTGCAGAACAAGTCCCCAGCACTGTGCAAAGCTCCTTTTCTCCATTTTAAACTTACTAAGCAGTCACACAGACAGATCACTGAATAAGATACAGTGTGAGTGTACATGGTTGGCTTTCTTATTCCCTTATGAACTGTCTCTCAGAAAAGACCATGGTTTTGTTCCCTTGTCTTGGTAGTTAAAATCACCCTGAAATCCACTCTGGGAATCAATTAGTTCCCTAAAACTGCCAGTACCAACAAGAAATGTCTGGTCATCATACTCATTTACTTATCTATTTTGAGAAAAATGGACCACTTTGCTCACTGTCAATGGACTTGTGCTCTTAGTGCAGAAGTCACCTCTAAAACTCATGCCACATACATTTCCAATACTATTTCACATTTTTTCTCTCACTGTCTCTTCTGTCCCTGAGCCTCAATGAAGCTTCTTAACCAAATGTAAGTATTTTTTGGTACAAATCTTTCACTTCTGTTAACACAAGGAAGATGCATAGGTCACAAGGGGCAGGATCAACTTAACACACTGCTGGCCATGCAGTTGTATGAATTTCATTTACTTAGTTCAAGGGATACCGAGTGTCTGTGCAGTTATTTCTAAGTCCACCAGGAAAAGCCTGACATACAGTTCAGTCTTATGTCTAGCAGGTCAAAGAGGGATCTGAAGACTACCCTTACCTTCCCTAGGAAATGCTTGCGGTACAGCTTGGCTGTGGGGTCACTCTCCAGTTTCACTTTAACACTCCAGGGAAAGGGTACATCAGACAGAGTTGGACTGGAGAGGTTGTGGCTTGTCCCTTCAATCCAGTAGCCCCCAAACTGGGGTAAGATAATGAGAGGATATGGCCACCCTTTCTGTAATACCTATTTGGAAGGACAGAGAACATGAAAGCTGAAAGGTCAATAGCTGAAAAGGCCAGTAGGCTGCAAGTTCAAGGGAAAATCAGAGAAGAGTAGTACAGACTCACCTCATGGATGCTGGGGTAAGGAATATACTCTTCTTCTGTCTGAAATCAGAAGAGAATGTTAGCAAAAATTAGTAAAAGTGTGGGAGATCTTTTAAATTCTTTTCCTCTCATGATAGCACAAGCTGTGTCTTTAGCTTCTGCTCTGCTCTAGTCCACTGTTAGAGTTTTATTTTAGAATTCTAAGTTGGACTTTCTTTCCCAGGTTTCAGCATTGCAATATAGAACTTTGAGAACAAAAAGCCATAAAAGCTAATTTTAAAGTTAACATGCTTGAGCTAGAACAGAGGAAAAATTGAGAAGAAAAGTTGAGAATTTAAGGATAAAAATCTATTTTCATTGGCCCAAAATTGAGTAAAGCACATCAGCTTTCTTGTAGCGTCAGTCTTCAAGCAGACAATTGAAATAAATGCATTGTGTTTTCATAAATATTATTACAGTTCTTAAATTGAAAAAATTTAATCAATTATTTTGTTAAAACTAGGATTTTTAATAATATTAAACACTTATTGAATAACTTAAATCAGAAAAAGGAAAATACTGTCTTTCATATACACAGTAACACCTCCCACAGTTAATTAAAATGAGTGTTTTTAAGCTCCCTATTCACTCCACACTAAAAACGCAGTACAAGACTGGTCAGCAATCATCTGTCATTACCAGTAACTTAGGAGGCAACAATGATTGAGCCTGACCTTGAGAGGAGCTGGAAGGGAACATCTTTGTTCATCCAGACGACTCCCCTGGAAACAGAAAGACATGGACAGTGAATCCTGTGTTTTAACATGTTTGTTTCATTTACCCTCTGCATTCTTCTCTGTATTCTCAACTTGTATATTTTTGTTCTTTATAATCTTCTGTTTTAAGCAAATTCAGAAGTTTGGAATAAGCAGGAAGAATGAAGATGGAACTTGGCCAGGCTATTCCTAATTTGGCATTAAAACTGAAAAGCCTTACAGTTCTTTAAAAGCAGAAAGCTGGCAGAAATCAAAATAATTATCCCAAAGGGATTCTGTTATAGATTTTTCTAGTCTCTTTAAGCTACTCTACTTCTTATTCAAACAATAAACAAACAAAGATTTATTGATAGAAAATGAAAGAATAGTATTTCAGACTTTTTCTCGCAGTTTTAGACTTCCCTTTCCCTTGAAGATACCATACTGTCAGGCAGAGCAAAAAAGTTCAGAGAAAGTTTAAGAGAAGTAACAAATTTTTTTAGGATTAAGCAAGACTTTGGAAAGTTTATATGCCTTTCTTCCATTCACATAATGGAATAAATCTATCTCTTGGAGGCAAAAGAGAAAATAAGAGTCACTTTCCATGCTTACATCTGATTAGTGCAAAGAGCTTTATGGCACAGTCCTGCTTATTTCCTCTACTTGTGCAACATTAACTGGGCATATACAACTGGATGCCTTGTTTCTTCCTCTGTCAGTAGATGCCTTTCTTACTGAAGGCTATTTCATTCTCTGCCTTCTCACTATGGCAAGAGTTTGCTCACTTCCAACACACTTCTGCAGCAGAAACACACAGTAACAGAAACGTTAGTCATGAGAACCCTCAGTGCTGACTAAGCAGAGGTTGAGAACAAAAGAAGTCAAAAAGACATGGGAACCTATGCTGATAATAGTCCAAATAGGCATCAGTACAGAGAGACAAGGTGCATAATTTGCACAGAGAGATAGGAAGCCAAAGATCAGGATTGTAGCTGATACAATGTATGTGAGAATTAACAATTAATACTGACATCAGTATCCTCTAACTCCCATACATGATGCTGTGACTTTGTTTTTATACACCTTCAATGGCAGCTTAATATAATGGTCAATGGACAAGATAAGCAGCTCCTGACTTCATTCTGACAATAAGAAGGATCTCATTCATAACAGCTACATCTATGTGAGCATTTAACAGTGAAACAATCTTGTAAATGTATCTGATAGAAATATATAAATCTGAAGTAACTTTTCTACTTTACATACAGTGAAAATGTAAGATAATTAAGGGCAAAAGTTTGAGGACAGCGTTCCAGTCCTACAAAGTGAAAAGACCTGCCAGTAGAGCAACAGTGTTAACACTGAGCAACAGCAATACTGAGTATTAATAATGATTAGGATGCTTCTTTTTCTTTTCCTTTGCTATTTCTGAAAGAAAAAGATATCCATTATACATTAAAACAAACAAACAAACAAAAACAAACAAACAAAAAAACACCCAGGTTTAAAAAAGAAAGAAAGAAAGAAAAGAAAGAAAGAAAGAAAGAAAAATGACCTGGTGAGTTGTGAAATCAAAATGGAATAGGGCTGATGTAAACTTTACATTTTATGGAGGTAGTAATAGCCATTTTGTATTTGGGCAGGTTGTGAAAGTGTACATGGAGTACATGAAGTGCAAACGGGTGTTCAGTTAATGTGATTTGGAGTTTTACTTGTCAGCGTACGGGCTGAGACTCAGGAGGAAGGCTAGGTTCTGAAGTAGGTGTCTCTGGAACAGAATTTTGGGGCAAGAAAAGACTATGTTCTGTCAAAAAAAGGTTGAGACATGAGAGACACAGAAATGCAAGGCAGCCCCAGTTTTCTGGAACAAACTGTGGAAAGTATGGGGACAAGCTCTCTATGCTCTGGGGGATTTTTGCATGTGGAAATGGAGTCTGGGAAACTGCAGTGTTGCAAGGTCTCTCTTCTCTGGCATTTTTGGCAGATCTGATAACTGCAAAAGGTTTCCAGTTTCAAAGGAGGTCCTAGTGGATGACCACTATCTCAGCCTGAGGGAAAACATCTTGAGATGCTATAAGTATTAAAGTTTCTGCAGAGAGAAGAGAAAGAACATGCCAGCACGTTCCATGCTAGACTGCCTATAGTTAAAGGAGCTCCTCTGAACAATTACTCCTCTAGAGCAAAGCAAAGATCCAATGTAGCTCAGGTTGTATAGCACAAAACCTTATTTTAGTACAAAATAAAAGACAGGATTTAAGTATCATCCTATGTGTTACATTAGATCAAAGTTAACCATAGTATTATAAAGAAATGTTATCAATCAAATAGAATATTGTCAGTCTGTAAGGATGCTCTGAGAACATACAATCTGAAAAAAAAAAAAAAAGCTTTAAAAATTCAGTTGCTAGATATATAAGCTATTATTATTATACTATCTCTTCATTTGGCAGAGGAAAGATGTTTTTCCCTTTTATTTTTTCATTTAACATTGTAGTGTATACATCTGGACGCACATTTTTTAATAAAAGAATTAAGCCTGAGTCTTCCTTGCTTCTGCAAGTTAAAGCTGACCTTGCTAACTGCAGTTACGTTAATACATGTAGATGTCCTATTAATCACCTATCATTAGCATCTGCTACCCAGCAGAAAGTTTCTTGAAGATTTTGAAGACTGTGCCAGAAATCCCTTTATGCAACTTCAATTTTCTCTCAAAATCATAATTCTGAAAAGAATAGAACAATTTGTGTATAGCTCATGCAAGTTCTAGAAATGGAACACAGGAAAACAGTTTTGAGACTTCATATAGAAGCTTGGACCTAGAAAACCAGATATTCTTCAAGTCTAAATTGAAGGTTGTTGGGATTGAAATGACAAGATAAAGAGCAGCAGATGATTTGTTTGGCTAAAAAAAAGTGTTCGAAGTCTGACAGAATAATTTCTCATTACCTGCATTTTTTCAATCATCTCAAACAAGTCCACAGTCTGTAGGGAAAGAAAAAAAAAAAAAAAAAGGACAACAGCGAAAATAATTTAACACTTGCAAAAGTTCATGTTATCTTCTGTGGTAAAACAGATACTGACCCAGCATCTCTTTCCATGTTTACATACAAAAACTATTTATTTTCTTACTGAAGACAAGAAGGAATCTTT